TTTTTTTTTTTTTTTTTTTTTTTTTTGAAAATCAGCATACGTAATTTAATACCGTGGGTACAGAAAATAGCACTATTACAATGGAACATTTCTCATTTTTTCAAATCCTGTTGCATCTTATGTTCGTTAGGAAAAATGCTGTCTCAACTGTTAAAATTGTAATCTATAAAAAATACATCAAAGATTATGTATGTTTGATTTTGCATGATTATGCATGTCTGTATATACGACGTAAATGAAGATAGTTCAAAAAACGTATGTTTCTCATTTGATATCATATTTAGATTTAAAAAATATTTAATAGATGTTCAGATATCATTATGAAATTCAAAAAGAAACGCATGTGATTAGAGTGATATGATCGAAAGAAAATTTCAATCAAAAAGGTGCAACGATTGCCGCCGCTTCGCCTCTACTTGTCGGCAACGAAGCACATTCATGCCATTTATTTGAATGAGGATCGTAACATTCAACGGTAGAAATTGTAATTTGCGTTCGATAAAAATTGATTTCCTGAGACTGATCACCTCCTATAACATAAAGTCTACTATCGGCTGCTGCAACTGCAGGATATGATCTACCCATATTCATAGATGCAACAGTACTCCATTTATTCTGGAATAGGACAAGATTATAACGAACAAAAGATCTAAATAACAGTATAATACATAAAAAAAAGAATAAATCACCTTTTCAAAGGAATATCGTTCAACGGACGTTAAAACTTCTTGATTTTTATTAGTACCACCAACAACATAAATATATCCATCAAGAATAGTAATTCCCATTTGTGAACGCGGGGTGAGCATTGGAGCTAAATGAGTCCATTCTCTTGTTACTGGATTGTAACTCATTACATCTTGGCGATGCCTGCTATTATGTGTACAACCACCGACTACGTATATTAATCCTAAATGGTGTATTAAAATGTAAGATCATACTCTATATCTCAATTTGAAAATAAATAATTCTTTAATTCTTTAAATAAATTAATTTACCTTCATAAGCAACTACTCCCATGCTGAATCTGGGTTCAGGAAGTTGTCCATCAAGTGTCCAAGAGTTAGTTATTGGATCGTATATCTCTATCGATCCACCAATATCTTCACCAACCCAACCACCAAATGCATATAAGCTATTATCCAAGGCACAAAGTCCAAATTCACATCTAGGTTCTTCCATACAAGCAATTGAAGTCCATACATTATCACGTGGATCGTAACATTCGCAATTAGCGATAATACATGATTCAAGTTCTCCGCCGACAACGTAAACTTTACCATCCAATAATGCGACTCCTGGTAATATTCGCCCTATACCAATTGGCGCTACTTCACTCCATTCACTGTAGAAAATATTATCATTCAATGATTTGATAATATTTGATATATATAATTTTTAACTTGCAAAAATATGTACGAAGAGAATTATACCCAGTAAATATATCATATTTTTCGATTGTTTCATAAGTACTTTCAGCAGCTCTACCCCAACTATCTGCTGAATGTTCACGTCGTGATCCGCCAATCACTAAAATGTTCTTTTTAGCGCAAAGTCTGGGTTGTGCGTGAAGAGGCACAAGACATCCTTTATTTGATACTAAATCCTTTTGTATAGACCTTAATGCAACAATGAGACTCGCGTCTTTACATTCCAGAATAACTCGTTCCAATCTCGCTAATGAACACAGCCGTAAACGTATATGACTTAATATTTCAAAAACATAACATCTTCTTGTTGGTATATCATGAACAATCCAATTATATGCTGCTTGGAAGACCTAACAACGTATCAAAAACCCAAAATGTAAGAAATACTCGCCATTACGCGAACCGTTTAGAGTTTATGTTTTCAAAAGCATGTACAAAGGACAAACCTGGAATTCAGTATCAATATGAATATAATCACTACTGAGAAAATGAACAAGATGTTCTTTCGGCAGATCCAAAAATTCCTCCTCCTGAGATACTTGAGGAAAATTGACTTGTATAAAGCGTAGGGCAGTTTCCAAAAGATCTAATCTGTTGTGTGCTTCTGCGAATCTATTTAACATATTTATTCATAATCATTCTAAATTTTATTTGTAATAATTTATACACGTAATTATTCTAAAAGATTTTTAACAATAATGCAGGTATCTGACAAACCTACAATTTATAAGAATATAAACTTGCTTAATTTTGTTCGTCTCACCTATAAATCCCAAGAGCATTCGAATAATGCAGTTGCTGTTTCAAATAGGTAATGCAACCAAATACTACTTCATCTAATTCTAACATATCAGCAGCTGCAAATAATTCTTGAACATTGTCCTGGGTAATATCAACGTTCCCAGTGTAAATGAAATCCACCAAGAGGGAAAGAATGTTAGCTGATACTGAATGAATTTCTACTAACTCCTGCTGTTCTTCCACCAAACCACCAGTGAACATAGCATTAAAGTAAGCACTTCCTGCTGCCAGGACCGATCTGTGTGCTCTGATAATGCTACCACTGGCAACCAGACCTACATCACTAAATTGGTTTTTTAGTCTTTGGGCATTTAAATTCCTTAAAACCTTTGGAGCGTATTGCCCCACAGCATAAACAGTATTAGAAACATCAGATGTTTGTTTTACTGGTTGCGTTGCGAAACCCATATTATTACAGTTATGGCCATTCTTCATTGGCGGCACTGCTCCATCCGCCATGAAACCATCAAGTTGTCCTTTATCTGCAGTTCCTAATGAAACAATTATCTCCATCCATCATTCGTTTAAATACTTCATGTAAAAATAATTCTTCCCAATTTCATGTAACTTCAATAATCTCTTAAAGTCATGGTTAATTACAATTCATTTGTCAATAAATTCATTATAAAATTAAAGCATTTTTTTTTTAAATTATAAAAAAAATTCAAGTCGTCTGAAACTTAATATAAGAAAAATAATAAAAAAATAGTAATTAAATCTTAATTAAATAAACTTTAACTGTTATGTTTATGTAATAATCACATTACTTCAAGACAGGCGACGGACAATTTAATTAATTGAAAAACGAGATATAGGATACACTTACGGCATATACGCGAGAGCACCTTATAGACGCTTTGAAACGATTTTGTATTATTTTTCCCTTTTAAACGCATCACTACCACCACATTTTCACGTAATTTATTATTGCCTGACGCCGCTCTTCATTTGACTCAACCCTCTCTTGATTCCACTAATTAGTCACTAATTCGGTAATAAGAAATTTGACATATGTCAAATAACCTATTTAGTGTATGAAACTAGCTACAAAAGAATCGCTAATAAGAATGGTGTACTCGTACCACATTCACAGAAACAATCTAAGGACATCAACAGAGACAACAGACGTTGTTATTTCTTCTTGAACATAAGACTATATATATTCTACTTGTAACTGAAAAATAACACCGACTTTCTCCTTATTTCTATATATCAAAATTGAAGCTTCTTATTCACTCATTCTAGTAGCTCGATTTTGGTAATTCAATTACGAGTTCATTGCCTCGCAGTTATGCCAACAACATAATTGGGGCAAGATTATTCTACAAGTGTAATCTGTCACGACGCTTGTTTACGTTTTAAATTTCACTTTTTATTTAATCTTTGTTTTCACACGAACGTGCGATATACGACGAATAAGTTAATGTTTTACAGATCAGCTGATTGAATATTTGTAGTGGTACCAGTGGTCTATCTCTAGCTCTGTTCATTATGAAACATAAATCATCGTGTTCTACGCAAAATTAGGTCCGGTGTACTTATGCTCGTTTTGAAAGTACGATACAACCAAGAAAATTAACTGTTGCTTTTCTGCATATATATTATTTAAAATAGATATTGTTTCATTTTCATTAACGTTTTAACATGTCGACTATTTCAAGAAAAAAGAAAAACTCATCAAACTTGAAGGTAACACGTAGTTCCATATCGTATTTTTGAAAGGAACACATGTTTCCTAATCCAATTTTTATTTACAGAGCATAGGTAATCGCGATGAATTTTTAAATCGCATCTCAAAATCGCTTTACTATTCGAAACTACCAGTGACCGATTGCCTCAGTTTACCTGTTACTGGTTAGTATCACTATTAAAAATATTTATTGACATACTTGCTCTTGACTAATTATATTAAACATATTATAAAAGAAAATGTATAATTATTATATAATTTCAAACACACACACACACACATATTCTAATTAAAACAATATGACAGTCTTAAAAAATTATTTGAGTCCAAAGTAATGTACTATTTTCTTATAACCTATATATTATTATGTTTTAACTGTCAGAGATAAATTTATAAATTATTATAATACTTAAGCAAAGCTTTCTAACATTTTAATGATGTTATACAATTGATTAAGGATTTCTCATCATTAATGATTATGTAATTAAACTTTATTTTTAGAATTGGCAGCAGAGTTGTTCAATGAAGTAAAAGGTGATTATACGCTTGAAAGATTAGATGTAGAAGAGGCTAGCAAAATATCTAGAAATGCATGTGTTTCACCATGTTCTCTTGTTTTGGCATTATTGTACTTGGAGAGATTAAAAGATTGTAATCCACAATATCTTCAACAAGTGGCACCTTCTGAGCTCTTCCTCGTCTCTTTGGTATTATATTTTAGTATTATCGTTTATTATATTTTAGTAAACATTTGCCCCAAATAAAATTAGCTTCCGAGGAATATCGTTATTCAAAGTATAATACTTTTTATTACTTAGATGGTGGCTAGTAAATTTTTAAACGACGAGGGAGAAGAAGATGAAGTTTTTAATACTGAATGGGCACAATCAGGTGATCTAACTATATTAGAAATAAATCAGTTAGAAAAGGACTTTCTCAAAGCTATTGTAAGTAAATTAAATATATTACCGTATTTACGATGTATCAATTTATATACAAATATTTATAATTATTCAGGATTGGACTGTTTTTGTTCATCATCAAGACTTTTGGAAAAGATTACAAAAATTAGAAAAAGATGTAGCCTATAAAGAAGCACAGAAAAGAGGCTGGTTTTCATATACAGAATTGACTTGCCTAATGAATTCAATGCAATTAATAGCAGTAGCACAAGCTGTGGTGAATGTATCATCCATTTGTCTGGCAACATATACTGCAGGAGTAGTTACTCTTTTAGGCTCTGCCTTGGTTGCAAGCTGTCTTCCAGGAACAGTACTTAGTCCAACAATTAATTCCACAAATATTATGAAAACAGATCTTAATTCAGTAACAGATATAATATCATCATCATCCATCGAAGAAAAGATTTTATCGAAAGATATTTTAACGGCAAATTTTACATCCCTAAATTGTAATCAATCTCAACAGAATTGTGAATACATTGAAACAAACGATGCTACTGATATAAATTGGAAATGGTGGTTAAATTCTATGATGATTCAGCTATCAGAATATTCAGATCCAGAATCGAAAAAGACACTGCATACAGCAAATGATAAAACCGAACATGCGGGCACATCAATAACAACAAAATTCTTTTTCGACATTACTATATCAGATGAACCTTTAATAAAATTCTGGAAACAAATATTGGATATAGATCTGAAAATTCTTTTACACGAGTGGCGATATTATGCGAATTGCGCACAAAGTACAAAATTAACATTCGATCATCAGCACTGAACATCGCATATCAAGATTATCAAGATCTTAAAAATCTAACTATTCTCTTTATTAAAAGAATTTTCAAACCAGAGAAAGATTATATATTTTTTCTACTAACTTGTAACTCGCAAAAGAACTTCTCAAGATCATTTTTTCAATAAAGAAAATAAAATATCTATGAAAACATTGGTTTTTTTTTTAAACTATGACAACTTTTGGGGATATATATAAGGATAATACTAAAATATAAAATACAGGTCTATATGTTGTTACTACTATTTATACAGTTTTGATAATACATCTACAATTATTTTATACATATGTATATATTAAGTACATTCATCTTACAGAGATTACATAATATTGCATAAACTTTATGATTGTCATAAATTAATATTGCAAATAATTACGAAATTTTTAATAATAGATCATAAATAGATGTTTGTTTTCTATCATTATAAATCAATTTGTTATAAAAAGTAAATATTATAATAATAATAAAATTTTTAAGCATTTAATATATATAATTTCAACCACCGTTATGAAAATAGGAAAAAATAGGGATAGGGGTCATCCCGATAATACAGCCAATTGTAACTCCTATAACTCGTCCCTGAATTATTAGAAATTACTTTTTTTATTTTTTATAAATTATTAACTTAAAAAGTAAAGTGTGACATAAAAGTAAGCATACCATATTAGCAGCTGCTTTTGTCCTATGTAAATTTAATTGTATGGGAGTAAGTTTTGGTGCTTTAAAACCAACGCTTTGAGCGAAACGTTCTACATAATGTACAGATCCGATTCCTATTATATCAGATATTGTATTTCCTAACGCGGCAGCTGCCATAGTTGATATTGGAAATTTTTTATTCAATATTGTTTCAATTTGATCTCCCTGAAATGACAATATTACAAAATCGAACATACACGATGTAAATTCGTGATACGTACAGCGACAATCATGATGAAATTGTCAAGGAAACCAAAGCCAATGAATGGGATTGCATTTGCAATTGCAACTGTAAGAATATGATATGTACTATTAATTATCTCTTAAGTTCAAAAGAAATATTATATTCTATTATACAAATTATTTTAGTAAACATTTAAATTTGAATTTGCGAACTTTGTCAAATATTAATATTTAAAATTCATACCTAATACTAACTCTTTTGTGGTTGGTTCTGGAACAGTTTCAACTGCAATAGGAAAGAGAAAAATGTGAACGTGTATTCTTTTTGTAACACAATATGATAACATTAATTAATAAGTAATTGTGAAAAATATAATTCTTGTGTTACTTATAACATAACACACAAAATGACAAGGATTCATGCATTTATTTCTTCATTTATGCAATTGACACAGATTAAAATAATAACTTTATAAATAAAGTTATAAATTATTAACATGAAATAATAATATAGAATAATAACATTGCATAATATTTATTAAAATTAATTATTTATGAATAAAATAAAATTATTAGGATAACAAATTAATTAATGCACAAGATTCTGGAAAGCAAAATTTTATTTAAATAAAATACATTTTTTGTCTAATTGTAAGAAGTACTTACATCAAAGTTTGCTAAATAATGTAATGTATACTATATATACAAGTATTGTATCTAATGTTTACTAAAATACAATCTACATAAAAAGAGCAATTATAATCGTGCAAAAATATACAAAAATTAGGTGGAAGTAATGGAAATTAAATTATAAAGGTATTTTAACAATCTTTTCTTATATAATGAAAATTTCTAAAGTTATTTACCTAAATGTTCAACTTATTTAAACAGGTATCTTGCTGCATGTCATTATGTTCATTGTTGAATTAATGGATGAAATTCATTATAAAGTTCTTGTAAAAAATATGCTTTTTTTCAAAGTGTTCAACATCTTAAATCATAAATGTTATCTAAGTTACTTGATGAAATTGTGTGAATTATTATTTAATGAAATAGCATAATTGTGTGAATTATTATTTAATGAAATAGCATATTTATTAAAAAAATTGTTATAAAATTTTTAAATATTTATCATTATATATTATGCTTTAATTAGAATTTGGAATGAATATATAATTCTTACAATTTGAAAAGAAAACATAAAAGTACAACTTAAATAATTTGAATTGCTCTTGAACTATTAGTATAGTATTATTGTGTATATTGTGTTAAAAAATAATAGTAAGTATGTATATGTAATGTAATATATTACCTAAGTGTGGCTCTGTAGTTGTCTTTTTAAAACATCCAGAAAGTTCAGTCAGAGTAGAAGTAAGTGAAAGAATTAAAACACATAGTTGCATGTGAAATAGTAATTTAATATATATAAGTAAACTTACAGATTGATGTCCATGTAGAATGCGATGGAAGAAAATTTTTTAAACTGTTAAAGAATAATGAAAATTGCACTGAATCACAATATAATAATAATAAATATTTTCACCTTTGAAATTCATTAATAATGTGATGTTATAAAAGTTAAATTTTAGTAATATAAAATTCTATTAACTTAAATTGCAATTTAATTTAGTAGCACAAAAGTTATTTTGCTTCATAATTAACTGTTAATTACTGATCATTAGAAAAGTGAAATAATGTTTTTTAAGTTCCTACCATACTTGCGCATAAGCCAATCTTCTGGTACAGGACAATAAGTGCCTGTAGGATCTACATCTCCTAATGATGATATTTTGCTTGGTCTTCCAAGTTTATTACACCATCGAAAAGCAGCTAATTGGCCTTAAAATTTATAATTTTATGCATAAAAAGGAAATAATTTTAACAATGTGATTTCATTTTCTGCAGATTTTTACGTATTATTATCTGCAAATCACTGCAGATTTTTATCCATTTAAGAGAAATGAAATATCGAGTATTATTTATAATATTAATAAGCAAAACAATTTTTACTTAGATCTATTTTAATTATGTTTATAAACATATGTTTACATAAATATCTGCAGTCTAAAGTGAATCTTCATAAAAAATAATTACGTTGATATTCAGCCCTATCCTCTTCTGATTTACATTCTTTAAGGACATTTAAAAAGAGATTTCGTTCTTCTGAGCTAAGCTTAGAAGCTATCTCTTTCGCTTTTTCCTTCGTTAAGGATTCAGGAAAATTTATTTTGCTTTCCGCACTGTAACATGTTCTTGGTATAGTCCACGTATGAACGACAAACGAAAATAAACTGTGTTTTCTTGACAGAAAATTATTCACACAATACAATTTTTGACGACCGTGATAAAACCGCGACATATTTCTACTAAAATACATAATTTCTCGTGGGATAAATACTGTTTGACTAGTCAAAGCTGCGATCGTATACATCTTTATGAAAACGACGATACCGTTTCCTCAACAATATTTTAATTGAAATTTACGTGATTACGAGAGCATATACATTGTATAGCGCTAATACCTAAAATCAATAATTTTGTTTGCTTAATAATGATAAAGATACACTATATTGACGATTGAACACTTAAAGATACGTACACATATCTTGACTTAAAGTGGTAGTGACTCAACCCTACGCCATTGTGAAGTCACTACTTAGTAATGCTTTAAACACTAAACAATGCAAATAATCGACCAATTTAAATTATCTTGATCAATTGATAATACTTTATTGTTAAAATATTTGCCTTTTAATTTCGTTATATAAATTATTATTTAAAAAAAAAGTTTGTAACAATTTTCACATTATTACTGTATGAATTATTCTAAATGATATATTTATTAAAAATAGGAAAGTCATAATTAATGAAAGTGTCAATTTTTGTTTGAAAAAAATTCTTAAATTAAAGAAGAGAGAAATGTTTGAAAAAACAGTTCTTTTATTTATAAATTTTACACTTGTCAATAATCATTTATTAATTTAATATTGCTAGACATTATCTTTCTAGCCGCACCGTTTTTATACATGGTCTTCCGTATCTGCGTTTCGCCTCGTCAAGAAAAGCATTTTCCATTTGCCGTACAATTTCGTTAAAAAATAAATTCGATAGATGCGAATGGATAAGGGATTTAAATTCAAATGATAAAGAGAAATCAATAACGCAAGTTTGCGTATTATTTTTTAATCCTGGACTAAGGAGCCACAATGTATTTAAATGATTAAATAATTTACCATCTGTGCATTCGGCTTTTACCAAATGCGGCCGCATCGTCGTTACTTTCGAAGTATAACTCTCATTTATAGGTGGAAATCCTATCACCAAGTTTGCTTTGAGCATATCATTACTTTTATATATAATTTCAGACTTCTTACAAAATGGCACAAAATCTTTATAATTTTGTACGTCGGCCACGACGTCATATATCTGTTCCATTGAAAACCTGTGTGTGTAAAAAAATTTTTCACATTTTTTTATTCTTTCGCAAGGTATTGATCAATTGAAGAAACTCACCCTACTAATTTACGACCTTCGTATTCTCTTGTTCTTGTGATCTCGATCATATACATTCTTTCTATATGTTGTTTATTAAAATTGTATTTATTTTGAAGAATTGCATTTTTAAGCAATAAAATACGTCTGAAAATGATATTGACACGTTTTCTTTAAAAATTATAAAAATTTTAAACATCGTTGAAATGGTCATTCAAAAGATGTTACTTTATTATTTCTTAATCATGAAAAAAATATATTAAAAATTATTTAATTTTTACAACTGTACATTATTATTAAGAAAAAAATTCTAAAATTATGAAAAAAAATATGCTAATGAAATGATTATGATTTTTCTTTAAATTTTAAATATATTATTTACAAACGCTTGTGAATTAATGTTAGTTTGAGTATATTAATACATTGGTCAATATTTAGTTAGGTTATGTATTATGACAATTTCGTTTCACATTGTCAACTCCCTTTTTTTATGATTATTATATTTAACAATTATATTATAATTTAATGTTTGAGATAATTTCAAAAAATTAATTTTATTTTTGAAAATGATAAAACATTAGTGTACATTAGCATTAGCTATGGAAAACATAACCTATAAATAATATAAATAATATATGGTTTATATGGATAGGAAATTTAAAACAAATACATCCAAAAATATATTACCTATACATGGTGATATAAATTAAAAATTCCGATCTATATTATACACAATAAAATTTATATACACACACATATATATACATATATACTATATTTTCATACATGCACGTGAAATTTGAATATTATCAATTTTTACTAATAGATCTCGTTTTTTGTCCAATTTTAAGGATTTCATTTAATTAAAATGTATTTTATATTATCCATATTTGAAAACGCGATTAAACTTTTTCTAGTTACTTATGAAATAGACGTACACGAAAATATGACAAGTAGTATAACTAGATGTTTATTTAAAAATAATACAAGATATCTATTTATAATTAAATGTCAAGGACTGACACGTGACATAAATATAATAACAAATTTATTTTATACAATAAAATGAATCCATATTTTAGTCAATATATTAATTATACTGTACAAAATGTATTTAGTTGCATAGTATATTATCAATAAATAAATTTTAAAAAATTCCAAACAACTCTACTGAATGATTCCTGTATGAATTTGACATTAATGTGAAATTTAACAATAAATTAAAACGTTTCTACTGCAAGCAAAAATTGCAATACGGTTGGTACATCCTCACGTATATAGCTTACATAACACAAGTACCGCAAACGTTTTCATTTTGATTCATTTTTAAAAAATGGCTGGTATTACACCGCAGGCTTGCAGAAATGCATTTCGACAAGTATGTATTTATGAAAATTTTTATTTTAATAATCAAACGATTATGTTTCCCAAATATATTTCTTGTTATATTGCAAAATATTGTGCAGACCTATAAACCCTAACTTCAATCTATTGTATCACTTGTGTCAATTTCACTTTTTTTTGTTTGTATATGATATTTATATTTAATTATCGAACGAGAATTGAAGTAATAAGAATTAAATAATATTACGCGATGCTTTTGTTAGAATCGCCACTTTGTATAATTGTCACAAATTGTCATTATATAAATAAAATTTTTTTACTTTATTGATAAATGATTCTCAATATAGTTTTTATTAGCAAATATTCAGTCAAAATGTAGTAAATTAAATAATTGTACAGTTAAATGTATAATTATATTTATAAGAAAATTACGAAATTGTAATTGGCACATAATCAATAGTTTAAGATTAAATATATTTATCTAATTAAATTGTAAAAGATGATACTTATGTGTTGACTATTTATTTTTATTTGAATTTATTGCATTAACTTTCACTAATTTAGGTTAGAAGATTTCATATTTCTGCAAGTCAAAATGCTGAAGCAAAATTAAAAACATTTGCTGTGTATCGTTGGAATCCAGACAAACCTGATGAAAAACCAAATATGCAAGAATATAAAATAGATTTGAACACGTAAGTTTATTTAAAAAATTTCTTTAATGGCTTTGTATTATTTATAATTCATTTAATTTAAATCTATTATAGTTGTGGTCCTATGGTATTGGATGCATTAATTAAAATTAAAAATGAAATCGACCCAACTTTAACTTTCCGTCGATCTTGTCGTGAAGGCATTTGTGGTTCTTGTGCTATGAACATTGGTGGTACAAATACATTAGCATGTATAAGGTATGTTTTAATCAGTTTTATTAAATAATTTTCATGCTTTCAAAATTAAATTTGAAATATAAATCATGATTCATATTATTTTAGCAAAATTGATACTAATACAAGTACAACTAGTAAGATTTATCCACTACCACATATGTATATAGTAAAAGATTTAGTACCAGATTTGAATAATTTTTATAACCAGTATAGAAGTATACAACCATGGCTGCAACGTGGTGATGGGCAGAAAGCTGGTTCAAAGCAATATTTACAAAGTGTTGAAGACCGTAAAAAATTGGTACTTTTCATATTTTTTATTCTACTTGAAATTTTTATATTTTTCATTCGTATTTGATATCATTATAATGCAATAATTTTTTTTTTATATAGGATGGTCTCTATGAATGTATCTTATGTGCTTGCTGCAGTACCTCTTGTCCATCATATTGGTGGAATGGTGATAAGTACTTAGGACCTGCTGTACTTATGCAGGCTTACAGATGGATTATTGATTCACGTGATAATAAAGCAAAGGAACGTCTCGAAAAATTGCGAGACCCATATTCAGTATATCGATGTCATACTATTATGAATTGTACTCGTACTTGTCCAAAGGTAAGTTTAAATAATCTGAAAACTATTTTATTTCTGATTTTAATTGAAAACTTTGCACCTTACCGTCTTTATTTTTTTATAGGGTTTGAATCCTGGTAAAGCAATTGCAGAAATAAAGAAATTGTTAGCCAACATTAGTGAGAAACAAAAACCTGGCCTTGATGCTGCTGTATAAATAAAAAAAAGATGAAATTAATCAGTCATATGTATTTTTCGTTCGTTATGATTCTAGAATTAATAGAAGATTATGTTTCATTAAATAAAAACAACTAAATATAGTTCACTTAAATTATTTGGCAAAACAATATACAGCTGACACCAAACTTTTATAAACGTCAAATATGGTTTACTGTAAATATACAGCTGAAACCAAACTTTTATAAACGTCAAATATGGTTTACTGTAAATAAAAATTTCTTCTAATATAAATAATTATATTTATACTTTAACAATTAACTTTATATATATTCACATTTGTAGGTGAAACATCAAAATTCACTTAATGAATGCAATGAAATATATTTAATTTTTTATATTACACGTTTTATATCTTTGTAATAACGCTATTGCTAATATGAATCAGTTGAAACATTGATTAACTTCATAATGAGCAAGATTATCTCGATATGTAATTTTATTGTTTTTATACTAGAAACAAAGATACACTAATCTTTCTAGTATTTAATTTAAATCTAAGTAATTTATCATCAAAAATATACGCGTATATTAGAAACTTGTATATTATAATTGATCATGAAATTATAGTAAATTATATAGTAGTACGATATGTTAGAGAATAAGAATATTTCAATAATTTTCAATTTAATTTCTGCATAAAGAATGCATAATATGCATAATTGAGAACTATCTACAGAATTGTTTAAAATTTTGATCAAGATTACATGTATGTTACAACGACACTTAAGGCTCTGCAGCCATTCTATTTCTTGCTGTTTCCCTCGATCGATTATGTACTTCTGCTGTTCTTAAAGTTATACCAAATATATCCTCATGATAACGATTTTCATCCTAAAAATCAATTATATATGTAATTGAAATTTAATATTTAGTAGCAAAATTGTAACAACAGCTTACGCGTAATGATAACATGTATGCCTCGACTTGCTTATCAGTCATTTCACCATGAGTTTGTATAATATGTTTCAAAGTTTGGTAAACGTCTTCTGCCATTGTACAATCACCACAAACATAAAAATGACCTCCTTCGTATACTAACATATCGTAAATTTGTGAGGCTTCTGCTTGAATTAGATCTTGTACGTATGTCTATGAAAATTAATATAATTATAATATTTCAAGTACGACGAAATGACATTTTAAATTATAAGAAATATTTTAAATTTTAACTTTTTTCAATCCGGGTTCTCGTGAAAGAGCTAAAAAAACCTTGTCTAGGACACCAGCCTTTACCATTTCTTCTTTTTCTTGCCTATACAAATCTAAGTTTCTTTGACGGCAACCAAAGAATAGCCAGACTTTTCCATACTTAAGATCTACAAATTTTACATTTCATATTTATTTCAGAAACATTGTAACATGTAACAAATTATAATACCTGGTTGTTGCTTCATCTCTGCGAGGCGATGATACCAAAAACCTCGGAAGGGGGCAATTCCAGTTCCTGGACCAACCAATATCATTGGTGCTTTTTGTTCAATTGGCATATAAAAGTTAGGCGCACTAAATGTAAAAGAAAATATATCAAATTTTATGTGTGTGAGATAAATAAAAATTGATTTTCAATACGAACTTACCTACGTACAAATACATACAAAGGTTCCCCATCTGATATCTCGCGTAGATAATTAGAACAAACTCCATAATGAACTGGCCCAGAACCGCCTTATATTTTACAAATAATTATATTTTTATATAAAATAGACTGCCGCTGGATGATTCAAAAATCGTATGTGAAATTAAATACCTTGTGTTTTATATTGTACAGTAGCAACGGTAAGATGTATTTGTCCTTGATGTACATTCGGAGAAGAAGAAATACTGTAAAATCTCGGTTGCAAAGGAGTTAAATGGAGTAATAATAAGGGCGCGAAAGGTGTTACGGATGGGAATTCATCTAATACTTCTACTAAATTAGGGAATTTCCAATGTCTCCAATCCTCGTATGCTGCTGAATCCTACATAAAATTTTTTTTGTTTTTTATATTGATTATAAGATTTTTTTTAAATTAAAGATTAACGTAATATTTACAGAAGCTAAAAGATTGAGTTGAGCTTGTTCTTTTGGATCAGTAGCAATTGACGCGAAGTATCTAAGAAGATTCGGTGTTGGTGGTGTTGTGATATCTAGAAATCTTTTTAGTAGTATTCTCAAGGAGTTAGGTAAGTATCTATCGTGAGTCATCCATGTTTTTACGATTCCTATGTAAATGAAAAAGAAGAACTTGTTAACATTGAATAATAATGATTTAATATTTTCAATAAAGTCAATGCACACCATTCGGAGTATGAGATTGCTTCTGCACTTGTAATTCGATCGGTGTATTTAAATCAAAGGGAGTTTGTACTCGTTTCAAAATTGCTTCGACCAATTCTGATCTATTACATGCAAAAACTCCTAAATGATCACCAGGTTTATATGATATCTCCATACTTGCCATATCGTCAAGTTCCAAGAGTAACGTAGTTCCACTACAAAAGATAAGAGCATAAAATCATAATTTATTATATTAAATAATTAATAATTAATAAATCATAATTTATTTAATTAAAAAATTTACTAACTATTTACAGTATATAATTACCTTGATGAATCACCGCTTAAATTTGTTTTCCGAAACATATTACAAGTAGTAACGTTTCTGTTATGACATTTGCTCAAAGCTGAAATATTGTAATTATAAAAATAAACATTTTATTAACAGTGATTATGAATAAATGTACCTTTCCCAATTGGTTGAGGTTCAGCTTCTACAAAACGAACAGTTGCTGCTGATAGAGCTTCTGATCCTAAAGACAAAGCAACTTCGAGCAAAGTATCATCGTCATCTAGGCAAAATGTTTCACACGCAACCTGGGATAATTATAAATATTTTTTAAAAAATACTTACTATATTGAATAATATGAAAAATTGTAATAATAAAATACAAACAGTAAGAGTATCGGCTGCCCATTTTCTGAAAGCTTGTTCCTGTCCACACATTTCATTTCCTTGTGCCAATTTCAACAATCGTTCTCCGCCTAATTCACCTAATAAGTTATCTACATAGCGACCGAAAGCGCAGAAGTTTGGATATGCCGATGATCCCAACGCGAAAACAGCAAATCTAAGAAAAGAAGTATAGGTTTGGATAAAGTTTTCAACCTTATAAGTTAATATTTTATATGAATATACCTGACGTTGCTCAAAGGACCAAAAGTGTCTTCCGTTTGAGAATCTGTGGTAGAACCACGAAGAGAATCTAATCTATCGAGTTTCTTCGAATTGCTCACTTCCGTCTGGCTATTTGCTTTAATGAACGATTTTGAAGTTGCTAAGCTACAATTATAATACAAATAATTGTCACTCGATTCAAAAATTTTCCTATTTTGTTATATAGAATGTGTAAATACCTTATTTTATTGTCACTATTAATGTACGTTTCATTCATTTTCATAGCGTATAAATTTTGTGCGAAAGCCTAAAAAATAAAGGACATGTAAAATCCTAGTTCAAGTTTCAAATCGTTCAATACAAAAAAGCATAAATTTACTTCGCCATTTTCTGGTGGATCACCGTTTCCAAAGGTAGATGTTATAACTAGTAATAAAGCTTCATGTTCTATATTACTGATGTCATAATCTGACATACAGAGTACCTAAAATTGATAGCTTTAAGTATTTTTCAGATGTCATTTCTTTAAAATTAACAGAAATTTAAAATTTTATAATATTTAATTAAATAGTAAATACCTGGGAATGGAAAGCGTGTCCTAATAATTCACTAAGTTTCTCAGCATACATTTGCGATGTGCCAGTTTCCGTGGCAAACAATACTGTAGCTTTTATTCTTCGAGATAAGGCTCTTCCAAACAATTTGGACGTAAATTTTACTGCTCTAGAGTACAAAATGATTTATTTATAGAATCCTTCCAATTGCAATATGTTTATAAAGCAATATTTTACCTTGCAATTTGCTTGAAATGGAATTTTCGTCTTGGTTTTTTGGACGTTGATTTTTTATCCCGTCCTTTTTTCCAAATGTGCGTCTTCCAAGCAGGATCCTATAATTTTTTAGTTTTAGTTAAATATGCAATAAATGTATAACAAAGAAATAACTTGCTTGACAAACACCTGAGCATCATACGATGGCTTTAAATAATAAAGAGCCATTTCTTGATGAAACACAGGCGTAGCTGATCCCGATATCGGTGGTACGATCCAAAGCCAATCGGCTGGACATCCTTTTCTTAATCGCATTTCGTTTTTGTAATGCTTCATGAAAGATTCCGAAGCAGTGTGGTGATCTACAATCGTCACATTTTTCACCTAAAAAAAATTAAAAAATTTGTTATCAATATTTAAAAGATATTTGAACAAAAGCCACTTTATACTTATATACTTGAAAACTATGCAAAACAGCAACATTAGCTTCGATCATAGCTTTATCCTTCCATAACGAAGTGGATGTTCTTGTATCCAATCCCATATGAGTTGCAATTGTCTACAAATAAAATTTATTTTAGCATATTTCGCTAGAAAAATTAACATTGTAATTCTATAAAAATGTACCTCTAGTAAATTATATCGTTGAACATCGCATAAGTCTCTCGATCCAATTTCAGTGCTCATGTACCATCCATTGAATGGCGCGGCTGTGAATTCTAATCCCCCACAATCGAATACCATTCCAGATACGACAGGAACCGCGAACCATTTTAATTCCAACTTTTCGAACCAATCATATCTGAGATAAAAAAAGAAAAAATAAAAAAATAAATAATTAATTAAGAATCTAAAGAAAATATAATAGTAAAGAAGTAGAAATGCCTACGTTGGATGACTAAGAGGTACTTCGAGAACGAGTTCACTTGGAATGTCGAAGTAATCAGGATCATGACCGTTTGCTGACAATACTAATGGCAGTATGTCGAAACGAGTACGTGCACTTCTCCAACCTAATTTCAAGCATAGCTGTGAAAAACAATAGATCGAGGGATAATTTTAAACTAAGAACAGGAAAAAAAGAACTGGGAAAGAGGAGGTGATCATTTTACCTCAGTGAATTCGACATTCGCGGGATCACCAATTATAGTGCCGTCTGGATTTTTATATCCCGCGTAATTGATTAGTTGATGGTTCCATACTCTATAATCATGTTTTCCATCCGTACGTTGCGGAAATATTGTTATTGCAGATCTAAAAATCCATAGTAAAATGAATAACAAATATTCCACGGAGAATGTTCTGTGTTACGTTTTATTACCGGATGTTTCCTTTGTTCGTGCTATATTTAATATGATTGCATAAAGCTTCAAACATGCCGCTAGTTGTCGTAACGTAACGGCAGTCAAATACCTATAATAAATGAATATGTAAATTCACCGAATGTTATATTTTTAATTCTATCCATGAACAGAGATAAGTTGAGTAATACAGACATATATGGAAATATATATTTTTATGTAAGAAGAAATAAAGATGGAAGTTTCTAAATGATTGCTTGACTCTTTCTGACTATGATCCTTGATTGTTCGAGTATAAGTTTTGATTGATCAGGAAATATTGACACGTATTGTTACGTACTTGCAATTTAGACCATTGAATACGACCGATGCATCTTGTAGCATTACGCCACGCTAACTTCGCTCCGAAAACTAATTCAGTTTCAGTTAGTTGATAAGTACCAAGAACCATGACTTCCTTTTGCACACTTTCCCAACGAATACGATGTGCCTCGCTATTTAATCTATTTCATTGAAAAAAAAGGAACGTTGCTTAATAACTTGAATCCCATAAAAATTGTCACATAAATTATATCATCAAAGTAAATTAGTATGCATATGCAGCGTGAATTAATAAGAACTAACTAATCTAAAATAGCTCGTAATCTATTGATTGTATCAAAAAAATATGAAACAGCGTATTTGAAAAGCGCGTGAGAAAATTACGCCGGGCACATTGGCAGCAATTCGAAATTCACATCGTTAATACACAGATTATTTTGTAACATTTCAATGTCATTAAATTCATTCTTTTATCGAGTGCAAAATAACATTAAAAAGAAAAGTACATTGATCTTGAAAAAATGCAAAATATCCCTGATATCTCAAGAAGTGTAAGATGTAAAGAAATCAAACTGTATTCATCTAATGATTTATATGGAATGCATTCATAATTCATTTGAAATGTTTATTGATACAATCAATAGGTTTCGAGTTATTTTAGCTATTTTAGAGTTCTTATTGACTCACACCGTATAATAAAAGCATATTTTAAATAGCAATGTACCTTCTGATGGAAGAAAAGTATTGTTCGAGGAAATCTTTTGCATGTACAAGGATCTCTTCTCTTGAACGGGGTTCTGTTCCATGAATCGGTATCTGCATAACGCTACCGAGACACACTTGACTAGAGCACAATGTTTTCTGAAGAAAGTAACACAAAAAGATATTAAAGAGATATTAAATGTTTCCCAGAAATTGAAGCTTTTTTTCTGTTATTCATCTAAATTGTTACAAGTAGTAGAAATTATGCTAATTAATTCATTGCTTCATCGTGATTAGATTGCGAATATTCATGCAATCGTATCCAACCAAAAGAGGATTTGGGTAAAAATTTGTTTTAAATTCCTGAATTTTGAATATTTCATGTATTTTTGCATACCATGTTAATTTTTTTGCATTTTTAAATTTTTTATAAACATATAAAAATTTATAGCATAACGATGGTATTAAGATAAGGATAACAAATTAATATTTAAATTAGATTATTACTGCAATAGTCAAAAAGCTCGAATAATTATATATTTAAATTAAATTAATCTTTAATGAAATATTCGAGAAAAATATTATTCAATCATCAATAATCAATATTTCAATCATTCCGACCATTTACATTCGACCTTGCCATTCCATGCCTTCTGACTTCTTTCGAGTAATGTATAATATTACAGTTCCATTTATAAGTATTAGAACACTTACTAATTTTGTACGGTACGTGATAATTAATTTAAACTGTTAGGGAAATAATTAATCAGTTAGAATTTGTATCTAACATGCTTATAATATTATCAACATTCAAAATACACAAAAAGATTGTAAAAACTATTTCTAAGAATGTAAATAATGAATTAAAAATACGCTGATACTTACATAATTCTTTGGCCTAAAACACGTTGAAAAAATTCAAATATATAGGCGGTAATGATTTTTATTATGGTGAATTTATGAGTTTTTTGCAACCTAATGGTCCTAATACTTATGAACAGTGGTATACTATGTACCAGCGCAATTAGGGTTATATAACTCCCCACGTTATTTGTTGATTATGCAATTTTCAATTTGGTCAGACGGCTAAAAATTTCTAAACGAAAGATTCCCAACAGAATGAGAGAACAAATTAACCAGTGAGAAATGAGAATAAAAGAAAAAAATGAATAGATAGACGTAAGTAAAAGGAGACAGAGAAAAGAGAGAAAAGAAGATTTGTGCTCGTGAAGTTTCTTTTGTTATGTGTACCTCTGCATTTCCCGCATGCAGAGAGTCAAAAGCCTCAGTCTTGTAGATGAGGTTACGGAGTTTCGTTGGTTTCTTCTGACAGACACCCGTTGCCTCGTGTTCCTTCATCTTGACTTTATGACTTTTCTGCTCGGCAAAAACGTACCCCTGGCTCACAACTCCACTTGTATATTAGACTACCGCGGCACGTATACTGGCTTAACTTCCTCTCGCGAGCATCCCCGTGAAAAGGGAGAGATATCAAGCCCCCTTCCAACTCAGACCTCAGATTCCGCGATATTTCACATGCGCTATGGAGCTGCGCCATTGATTTACCGCGCCGAAATGTTTTAGCCAAATACACTCTTCTGTATCGCACATTTTTTTTTCTCCTCCAATTTTTTCAACGCTCGTCTGCCACATTTATGAGAAGTTGTTCCATAATGTTATTGGGACCATCCTAAAAATTGTTAACTTTATTCTATTGATTCTCGATAATACGCACGAATGTTTCGAATTGTGTAGGTACTTAAATCGATGAATGAGTTTATAGATACCGTTTTGTTAACTGCTTTACAAGTTAGAGTCAGACCTGATTAGTTGATAAAAAACAGTTTTTATGCCGCGAATTTTTCTTAATTAGTAAGAAGACAGAATGGTACATTGATAGTTTCTTTACCTTTTACAGATAGATTGAGAGATTTTTAATCAACAAGATTTGATTCCAACTCGTAAACAGTTTATTATGGCTGGCGCGGCTTGTTTTATACGGATCGTAAAGATGCGCAATTGATTTGGCGCATCATCGAATGATCGTTTCCTTCTGTATCGTTAACTTTTTATCGATACACGGTAAATAATCGTTTGGTAAATGATCGAACAGGATGTAAAATCAAAATATAAAAATAGAAAGACGGAAAATTCCGCTAACAAGTGCTGGTCTGTTGAAATAATAATGTTAATAAACGTATCAAGAATAAAGAAACAATTATACATCTGTCGCATTTAAATTATTTGTCACAATTACAGTACAAATTTTGACGTTTAAATTATTTTCGTGGTATTTATAAAGTTTTACTAATTTAATAAAATGAATTATTTTACTTAACCATTTCGACTTCGTAATTATAATTATGGCAAATATTATTTTCTAAAAAATATATCCTTAAAAGTGTTTTCTTTCTTCAAAGAATACGATCAAATTGATGTCAATATTTCACGTAGTATTTATTAAAGTTCAATGCTTACGACATCGATATGCTTTTATTTATTTACGTAGTTAAGTTCGAAATTGATCAGCCTAAATCTAAAGTCGCTTTTACTACCGTTAATTATTTCACAATTTTACACAGTCGATTTACAAAAACAAAAAATAATTTCACTAAATTATTTATTTTATAAGCGTAATTATATACGTATTTATTGTACGAATTTGTCATTACAGAAATTCTATTGTTAACGCATCAAGTTCAGCACATTGTCCAATTTAGTTGCGACTGAAGTAAACACGAAAATGCAGCAAGAAGATGATAATTATAGATCTGAATTCACATCTTGCAATATAACTCCGGAAAAATTGCAAGAAACGCCTCGAACTGGTAAGCTTCGTCTACCTACGTACCGACTCATGAACAATAGTAAAGTCGTAATTATTTTGTAGGATTTGGAAGAAGAGACATAATGTCGTCACAGGAAGTTAAACGTAGAATTAATTATACTCCACAGAAAACCCCGAACAAGCATCCGAAAACTCCTCAAGGTACCGGTATAACGCATTTATAAAAAATTTATAGTTAGACCGTGGATTTTCATCAATTTAAAAACGAAATTTAAAAGTACAAAAAAAGTGCAGAGTGAATATTGTTAGTAACTCAATTGATTCTCCATTTATTTACACAAAATTCTGCGGTCTAATCATAATGTTTGTATTATACAAAAATAAAATAATTCATGAAATAATAAATGTATAAACTACTTTATCGTAGAACCTCTTAAGAAAGATGCGAAATCGCAATTAGAAGCTACCAAACGAAAAAGTCTATCACCTTGTAAGGAAACTCCCGAGAAAATTCAGAAAACTTGCTCGAGCGGAAAATTCATCAATACTTTAATAGCACAGTGGTCCAAGCACATGGGTGTTCAAACACCAGTTCAATCACCAGGAGTGAATATAATTTTTATTCTATTGTTCTTTTTTTATTTAAGGACAATAGACCTATATGATATTTTAGAAAGAAAACACATAAAATAACAATATTTTTACATAATAAACACATAAAATAACAAAATTTACCACAGAACAATATTATTGTTTTACTATTTTTTCCTACTAAAAAATCGTTATTAAAAGGTATTGAATAAAATTTGATTGTTGAATAAACATTAAATAACAACAGGTTCAAGAAAATTCAATCGCAGAAGAGATGAAGCAAATGTATGCAATCGAAGAGCGGAAGGTTCAAAAATTGCAAAAGAAACTGCAAGTTGCTGAAGAAACTATATCTTTACTCTCTGCTTCTCACGAGGCCGAACTACGGACTAAGGAAGAAATTTTACAACAGTAACATATTACTGTTATTTATTATTTATTGCATTAATTTTATTAATTATTAATTATTAATAATTATTTTTCATGTTATTAATTATTATCTATTGCAGTTATCTATTATCTTTATAGCAATAAGGAAAAAAGATTAATAGTATTGTTTTCTAGATTGAACAGCGATTGGGAATCGATTACTAAATATTATTATGAAATATCAGAGAGTTTGAAGGGGTTTCAACAGCACAAAGATAATTTGTCAAAGTTATATAACGACGTCATCCTTACACAACAATCAACAGTGAAGAAATTGCAGCAGGAATTAAGCACTATGAAATTGAAATGTATATAGATATATATAGATTTCATTAGAAACTTTGTTTAAGTATATTTGTTTTTTATTTTTAATGTGTTTTTATGTAGATGACGAACAAAGAAATATTGTTAGTACAATAGAAAACAAAGTAAAGAATCAAGAGAAAAGGTACTTACGAAAAATTTATTGTATACGTAATAATTGCGAATAATTTATTGTATATGTAATAATTTTCATTTAATTTATTATTAGAATACACGAAATGATGATTGTAGAGACCGAATTGAAAAAGCAATTCCAAGATATGAAAAACAAGTCAGTTTTAGAAAAAAATCACTTGCATAATGTTCATGCAGAAGAAAAATTAGAATTAATGAAGGTCAGAAGTATATTTTTGCTCTACATTTTTCTTCTTTTTTTATTTTAATTTTCCTACTTTGAATAGAAAGACGTGAATAATCTTCCAAAATAAGGAAAATATTTTACTTATGTTATCATCGTTGTTATCATAGATGTAATAAACGTGTGAAATATTGTAAGCAATTATGATTTCAGAAACAAGAAAATCTCACGTCGATGAATCAAGAACTGCAACTACAATTACAGAAGATTACGGAAGAGAAACAAGACTTAACTACCGCATTTACTGAGAAAGATGACGAAATTACAAAATTGCAAGAGAAGATCATTACATGCAAGTGAGCATTTTTTATGATTTTTGATTAGTTAAATATTTTAAAGTTTCTTAATTTATTGGTCTTGTAACAGAAATAAAATCGAAGATTTGTTGAGTCAGAACACCGAATTAAGTTCAAAATATGAAAGATTGATCATCAAGGAAGAAGAACTATCAAAACAATTACAATCAAGAGAACAAAAAGTAAAGCAATTTTATAATTTCATTTAAACATTTTCTTTCATATATAATTAATTAATTTTATTCTTCGCAATAGATCGAGAAATTACAAGAGAATTTAAATGCAAGACAACAAATAGAATCTAGTTTAGCTCAAGATCTTAATATTATTGATAACAAATATAAAAATATACGAAGTGATTTTACAAAAGTAGAAAATAAATTGAAGGAGGCACAAATTCAAAATTTAAATCTTGAGCAATCTTTACAAGTAATGAAACACGACAACGAATATAAAATAGTAGAATTGAATAAGAAAATTGAATTTTTAGAAAAAGAAAAAGAACGAGTATGTTTAGAGAAACATTCAAAAATATTGGTATGATATATATTTACAGAAATAATAATGAATTATAAATTTAAATATGCTTTCTCAAGTTCATCTCTTGAACACAGGAACTAGAACGTGCTTATAAATTATTGGAAGAGAAACACAAAGCATCCTTAAAACAAGAATACGATGTTAAACTAAGATTAAATGAGGCTTTAAATAAGATGAACGAAGATAACCAAAAAAAACAAACAAATTATCTTGATCAGCATACAAAGGCCAGCCGTAACAAAATACAGAACTTGCAAGAAAGAATCCAACCACTAGTAGAATCTAATATAACAGAAGCAGTTAAAGAATTAGGAAATGAAACACAAAAAAGTCAGGTTTGTGAAATGAAAGAAGAACAATTTCAAGATCAAGAAAATGTAGATAGATCAAAAATTATATCCAAAGATAAGAATGAAATATCGGATCTGGAACAAGATGTGTATAGTTTTACTAACATCAAATTTAACGATGAATTGTCAAATGTAAGTTGTAGTTATATGATGATTTCATATGTATAAATGGATTTAATTTTTTGAATTTAATAATAAATTAGTAATTATAGATATTATCACCTATAAAACAAAAAAAAAAGATAATTCAATTTAAAGTTTCCAACAAAGATGGAATTATTCAAAATTATTCTTTTTAATAATATAAGATAATACAAAAATAATATTATTATTATAGGTTTCTGATTCTACAGAAAATCATTCTTATCTTTTTCGTGATAAGAATATAACATACTCGAATACACAGATAGAAAGAAAACAGAAGAAGGAAAATAAGGTAATATTTTTAAAAAAAGTGTTTCTTGCAGTTTTATATATTTTATATGTGATTCAAAAAATTATTTTCTGTAAATATGATATTATTTCATGTAAATAGGATAATACGACCACGAGAAAAAGAATATTTAAAACTCGTGGCATCGGATTACGGCAATACGTAACTCCAAAAAGCCTTCAATACGGAACTCCTGGAAAAATATCAAAGAAATAAATTTTTATAAGATGTTATTACTACGTAAGATTATTAAAAAAGAAAATTACAATTTCAAATTTCAACAATGTTTTTTGAAATTGTTTAATATATATGTTCTATGTTTTTTTGAAAGTATTCAATATATAAGCTATTTATGTTATTTACTACTAATGATAAAATTATGTTACTATATAAATTATACAAATATGCAGTTTAATTTTGAGAGACACATTTGGTTAAAAATAAATTAACGCATAAAAATTATTCGCAAAAAAAGTTTTTTTAATAAAAAATTAATAAGAAATATCCAATCAATATATATATTATAAATAGATATATAACTTAGATGTATAACATAGATGTATAACTATTTTAACTATTTTACATATGAGATATATAATATTAGATCTCTTATTTCTATCACTTCTCAGATTGTGTTCATATTTAAATAAAATAATATACAATATCTAATCGAATCTATATACTTACTTGTAGTCTAATTTAAATAAGATAATATTTACTTTTTAAATATTCTTTAATCTAAATTATTTTTTTATTACTTTTTTATTATTTACAGGTATACTTCTTTACTTTAATTGTTTATTAAAGCGGTGGAACAATCCCATTTCATAGATCTTTCAACAGCCATTTTCCATTTAGAATATCTTAAATCTCTTTCTGAAATGTAGATATATGAAATTATTATTAATTCATTTTCTTTTGCAATTATTTCATTCAAAAGAAGTACCATCTTCTCCAATTTCGGGTGAAAATTTCGTAACTTGCGACGCATCTACATCGCTGATATCAATAATACTTGCTCCGATACCAGCTAATATAGCTGCTCCTAAAGCTGTTGTTTCTACCATATTGGGTCTTACTGCACAAGTTATTAAAATGTTGTTATTAGAATATAAATAAAATATATATACATTGTAGCAAAAATAAAGCAATATAAATTTTTACATACCAACACTTATTCCCGTTATATCAGCTTGTAGTTGCATAAGTAAATTATTTACAGTCATTCCACCGTCAACTTGTAAAGTTGTTAATTTCGTTCCGGAATCTTTTACCATTGCTTCTAAAATATCTCTCGTTTGAAAACAGACAGCTTCCAATGCTGCTCGAACGATATGATACTGTTGCGTATCTTCAGTGATACCACAAATTACTCTAAGAAATGTATGTAATTTGTAATTTTTTTAGTATCAGAATATAAAATTAATAATCTTCTGAAATACTATTATTATTTATATTTACCCTCTTGCATCTTGTTGCCAATAAGGCGCGTATAAACCAGAAAATGCAGGTACAAAATATACGTCTCCAGAATGTCTCACACGTTCTGCCATGTCTTGAGATTGTGCAATATTATTGAATAGCTGTATATTATCACGTAACCACGATAAAGCAGCTCCAGCTACAGCTACTGAGCCTTCTAATGCATAAATTGCTGGTTCTTTACCTATTTTGTATGCAATAGTTGTAATAAGGCCTTGAGTCGAATCTACTTTCTAAAATGATAAAACAATTAATAGAGATAAATGAATGAATGAATAAATGAATTAGTTTTCAATGAAATGTATGTTACAAAGCACATTGATAGATAGAAGTAAATACATACAACACTTCCAGTATTATAAAGTAAGAAGCAACCAGTTCCATAAGTAGCTTTTGCTTGCCCAGGCTTTAAACATAATTGACCAAGAAGTGCTCCTTGTTGATCACCTACACACTTGTATGTAAAAATAAGATATGTTAATTTAGTTGATTAAATTTAAAACAAAATTAATATTTGGATATGTTAAAATTTTACGCCTGCTATAAGTACACCAGCAAGAACTTCTGGATTGGAAATTGTTCCATATACTTCAGCACTAGACCTTATTTCAGGCAGGATATGTTGCGGAATTCCAAAAAATCGACATAATAGAGGATCCCATTTTAATGATTCAATATTCATCAACATTGTGCGAGATGCATTTGAGACATCAGTTACATGCAATTGCCCTTTGGTAAGATTCTATATGATGCAAATATGATTTATTTCATGAATGAACTATAATTATAATTATAATGTTGTATGATAAATGTATAAATAAAAATAAATAAATGAACATGCCCATATAAGCCATGTATCAATTGTCCCGAAAGCACATCTTTCTTCATCTACTGCATGTTTAACACGTGGTATATTATCAATAAGCCAGCGTATTTTGAGAGCACTGAAATACGGTGACATTGGAAGACCACAAAGAGGTTTCAAATAATTTTTGTTCCTTGTTTTATTAGGTACACTATCTAATATATCTTCTAAAGTTGTGGTAGTTCTCATATCTAGCCATACTATAAAAATATTATTGATTTGATTTTAATATTTTTGCATGTATTATATACATATGTATGTAACAAGTATCTTACTATGAACTTTATAAATCTAATGTTACTATAATACTACATTATACTGAATACAAGAATATGTTAATAATAAGTCACATACTTTACCTATTGCATTGTGCAATGGTTCTCCTGTATTTTTATCCCACATTAAAGTAGTTTCTCGTTGATTAGTAATCCCAATTGCTTTGATGTCTGATGCACTCATGCCAATGTCTTTTAACTTTTCTATGGTCTTTTTTATGCATTCTATAACTGCTTGTAATATTTCTTTTGGATCTTGTTCCACCCATCCTTCTTGTGGATATTTTTGTTTAATTTCAATTTGATGAGATACTATCACTTTTCTACGTAAAACATCAAACACCTAAAAAAAAAAATATATTTTTTGCATTATATATAATTTTTTTATATACATGTCCTATTACATGTCATTAAATAAATTACATGATTGTAGATAAAAAATTCATTCAAATTTTAATAAAGAAATTCATGAAATAACTTAAAGGATTTTAAAATAAAGGTCTTAGTAACATTATCAAGTAAACACTGCGGATAAACAACCACAAGTTCAAGTTCCATATAGATAACTCGTCTGTCAATTGTTTTTAACATAAGTGAGGTTTACTTACTAAGAATCTAGCGCTACTCGTCCCTTCATCAATTGCTCCTATGAATGGGCCCGAACGATTGATGTTTTCAGGCATATTTTTTTTTTCTTGTGAGCTCAGTATAAAAAAAATTCGAACGTATACTAAATATCAAGGAACACTAGTGTTTGAACAATGACCTATATTTAACCTTTGTTCTATACTGTTACATAATAACATAAAATTTGATTAACGATAACAGCGTGTATTACAATTTACTTATTTATTCCTCTTTTTTGGGGGGGAGAGGGTAACTTTTTATTGATCGCATTTTGAATTTATCCTATACTAAATAGCATTTTAATTTGTAATTTATGAATGATAAAAGAAAAGTAAATGAAATAAATTGATATATCGCTTGTTTTGCAAATCCGGAAATATGAGAAAAATAAATTTAAATATTAGCTCTACGTAATGTGTTTATTTTTTCGTTTTTTATATGAACGTACATATGCAAATACATACATGTACAACATAGCAACTGCAGAATAACATGATAAAGAATTGTGAATATTTACATTTTTTTAATAAAATTTCCATATATAAATGTATGTAGAGAGAAATTAATCGATATGAATGTATGCATACTAATCAATGATTACATTTTTTTATCAATTTCATTTGCACGTGTTTATTACTTTTAATTCTAACGCATGTACAAAAGAAATTGAAAAGTAAAATATTTTTGCTTCATCAAAAGTTATACATTTGTAATTGTTTATGAAGACAGAAATGTCTCTCTCTTCATAAATAAGGTAGTTTTTATGCAAAGAAAAAAAAAATATACATATATATAGGTATGCTAGTAAACATTTCTTGTAGAATATGTACATCTGTACAATTTTACTAGTGGCATTTGTAACTCTAAAGTTTGCGACGTGAACGTTTTGCTCCCTGCATCATAGTAACTTTTCTCAGGCTACCTAGTATTTATCTCATTTCATTTTGCGTTACCGGTAAGGAAAGACGTACATTTCATACGAGAGTAGTGAACGATCGTTTGCCCGATGTCTAATTAAATTAGATTAAGTGTTCATCTCGGTGTCTAATATCCGTAAATTTTCGAATGTTTCAGGCAAATAACTATTAAACTGGCTTCGTAATACGCGTTTATTACTTGGCCGGATTTCTTTATTACGGTAGAGTAAGTATTATTCCGTGATATATCGTAACTGCCCATATGAAATCTCTCTCTCTCCCTCCCCCTCTTTCTCTCTCCCTCTCCCTTTCTGCATTCTCATCTCTCTCTCTCTCTCTCTCACTCTCTCCTCTGTGGATATAACGGCCTTTAGATCACCCGTTTCTTAATTCGATGTAGAAATACGCAAGTACTATTTTTGATCTATGCAACGTGCATGCATTCATTTCGGAAAGGTTAGCGATCTTGTGACGTGTCAAGTGAATACTTCATTCCATATGGTGGTCACTAGCTCAACTACTCTGTGGTCATTGACATGCTGGCATTTAACTTGAATCTGTTCTCTTATTTCACCTTCAATGTACCAATCTCTGCAAATTTTCATTACCGTTCGCCAATTTTTACTAAATTTGTCAACCGAAAAATCACCGATTGAAGATTTATGTTAAAAGAAGATATTAGAGAGAATCCTGAAGAGAAAAATTTTACAACGTTCAAATTCTTGTAAAAATTTATTGTATATATGTATATATATATTTTTAGTCTTTTCTTTTTTTATTCTTTTTTTTTTTATTCTTTATCTGTGGTCGTTTTCTTTTTCAGTTCTGTTTGAATTTCTTATTTTTTTTTCCAAATTTTTCAATCAGATGATCAGTTTAATTGATGTAATGGTAATGAAATAAAACATGTTACATGTACATGGAGAATTAAGAATTATATTGTTGTCAGTCCATTGGTATTTTGTTGTAAATTTTAGTGCTATAAAATGTTCATTGTGTCCTCTTAGCACTTTTAAGAATTTAAATATGCTGTTGAAGTCAAATTCTCAAAATTTTGACTTACACACAGCACTGTGATTATCAGTCTATTGTATTTTTTAAATATAAATGTAATGTGACAATGAATTGGATTAAGCAATTTTTTTTTGTGTTCTATTGATCTTCGACTACATTTATGTCAAGAAATATAAATTAAGTATATTGATTACAGTGCTACTGTAAGGACTTGGCACGAAAAAGGACAATCCCAACATGCAACATTCAGTAATGGAAGAGGGAACGGCCTATGAGCCACCTACCTATGATGAGACATTCCCAGTTCTTCCTGAGTCAGCCAGTTCAAGTTCAGGAAGATTAAATATTTTCTCTATAAATAATAACTTACAACTTGGACGTATAACTATTACACAGGTATAAATTATTTGATTATAATAGACCTTTTTCATAATTGTAGGTTTAATTCTGATTGTTTTGCTGTTTAGATGTTTCGTGTACCTGGAGAAGAACGCAAATTTGATCATAGTGACAAATTTGGAGAACGTGAATCCATACGTACATGTAAAACAATAATGAAAGAGACAAATACAATCATTGAAATAGCAACATCAAAAGATCAATCTTTAACATTCCTAATAACTGGTAAACAAAATCAAGTATTGGAAGCCAAACGTCGAATTTTAACAACATTTCAGACTCAGGTTTCGTGTTATAAATAAATTTTATGTTAGGATAAAATTAAAATCGCTGTTTATAACAATGTGAAGTTTTCATTTGACCACTACAGGCAAGTAAACAAATTAGCATTCCTAAGGACCATCATCGTTGGATTCTTGGAAAACAAGGACAACGTTTAAAAGATCTAGAAAAAACGACTGCAACGAAAATAAATGTTCCATCTGTGCAAGATCAGTCAGATACAATTACTATTACAGGGACTAAAGAAGGCATAGAGAAAGCTGAGCATGAAATTAGAGTAATTTCAGATGAACAAGTAAGTAAAAATATTATATTTTAATTAAATTATATTTAACAGATCTAACATGTATAATGTATATACAATATTTCATTAGTCAAGAAAAGCATTTGAAAGAATATCTGTGCCAAAAATATATCATCCGTTTATACATGGTGCACATAATGATAATCTCAATGCCATGATGGCAGAAACTGGTGCTCGAATTAATATTCCACCTGCTTCTGTGCAAGAAGATGAAATTACCATTGCTGGTGAAAAAGAAGGTGTTTTAGCAGCAAAACAAAAAATCGAAGCCATTTATAAAGATATGGTATAAGCGATTGTCTATTGCCTAAAGATTATTATCAAGTAGAAATTATATGTTTCAGAGCTAAACTTATATTTTTGATTTAGGAAAAGCGATGTACAACGGTATCAGTTGAAGTTCCAAAATCTCAACACAAATATGTTATTGGTCCACGTGGCAGTACAATAGCAGAAATATTACAAGTAACTGGTGTGAGTGTAGAAATGCCAGCACCAGATTCTCCTACAGGTACTATTACTCTTCGTGGACCTCAGGAAAAGCTTGGTCAAGGTAATTTAAAGTTTATGATACTTATGATAATTGTGATACTTTATTTTAATTCATTTTTTAATCCAATATTATAGCATTGAACAAAGTGTACGAAAAAGCGAATAGTGTTCGTACGGCCGTGGTAAAAGCACCAGTTTGGATTCATAAGTATATAATAGGAAGGAAAGGAGTTAATATTAAAAGAATCACGCAAGAAATGCCAAAAGTGAATGTAGAGTTTACTGGGAAAGAAGATAAAATCAAAATTGAAGGTCCTCCTGAAGAAGTAGAAAAGGCACAAAATGAACTTCAATTAATGGCTAGTGATCTTATATCTAAGCTCACTTTTACAGAATTAAATGTTGATCCTAGATTTTATAAACATATTATTGGAAAGAATGGATGCAATGGTATGTTTTTTAAAGTACAATTGTTATGATAATTTTTTAATTATTTTATTTCTTCTTAAATTTTTTTTTTTTTTCAATGAAAGTGAATCGTGTAAAAGAAGGAACAGGTGTTGTAATTAATATTTCTGAGAATGATGGTAGTAACGTGATTCGCATTGAAGGGAATCTTGCTGGTGTGCTCAAAGCTCAAACGGTTTGTAGTATTTCTTTTGTGTCATAAATATTGCATATATTGAATTTTTTAACATTTAAATTTATTATAGGAATTAGTGGAAATGGTGAAAAAATTGGAAAATGAAAAAGAGAAAGATGTGATAATAGATCATCGTTATTATCCTAGTATTATTGGAAATAAGGGAGATAACATTAAAGAAATAAGAGATAAGTTCAATCAAGTACAGATTACTATTCCTGGTCCAGGTATGTAGCATGATATATGTAATAACTAGAACTCGGATTTATGCCAGGTACAAATATTTAAAAGATCTCAGTCCTTATTGGCACTCAGCCAATGAGAACTCAGCGTGCATATTTAGAGTGTAGGTCATATTTATCGTTTTCTAGTGTAACATATCCTCATTGTTTTAAATATGGGACATTAATTTAAAAATTGTTGAAAAAGTTAAAAAAAATTTTATTTCTAAGATTTATATATTTCATATAATGATACGAAAATTATAATTTTAAGTAATATTATATTTATAAGAAGAAAATGTAAAAAAAATTGAAAAGAAATGATTTAAAAAGTTTTTTATCTATAGGTGAAAAAGGAGATATAGTAAAAATTAGGGGACCCAAAGAAGATGTAGATAAGTGCCATAAGTATTTAATGAAATTAGTGAAAGAATTGAATGAAAATAATTATGTCTTAGAAGTACCTATATTCAAACAATTTCATAAGTTTGTTATTGGAAAAGGCGGAGTCAACATTCGTAAAGTTGGTATTCAAATATTTTATTTTAATTAGTTTAAGGCATAAATTACAGATAAAATTATTGGCTTTATTTGCAATTTAGATTAGAGAAGAAACACAAACTAAAATTGATTTACCTGCCGAAGGCGAGAAAAGTGATGTTATAACTATCACCGGCAAAAAAGAGAATGTAGAAAAAGCTAGAGATATGATTCAAAAAATACAAAATGAATTGGTAATGTTTATATTAGAGTTGACTAAAAAAATAATACATTTTTATCTGTATCTCGAGAACAAAAGTAACGATAAAAATGAAAATATGCTTTTGATAAAAGGAATCACTATTGCTTTAACTTCATCGTCCAGTTTGAAATGAATATTCTTGAGGGTTCTTTTCAATTTTAGAAAGAAATGAAATATCGAAGAGCTGTATCTTACTCCGTTTTAGAGATACAAATGAAAGTTCATTACTTTTCATCTGACCTTCGTATTATACTATAAAAATACTGAATTATTAATTCTATTAAGTATATTTTTCATTAGGCCAATATTATTACGGATGAAATAGTAATCCCACCGAAGTTCTATAATTCTCTCATTGGCACTGGTGGAAAGTTAATTCATTCTATCATGGAAGATTGTGGCGGCGTTGCAATTAAATTTCCTACAGCAGAGAGTCGAAGTGATAAGGTAAAAAATTTAATTTAATTTAAGCCAAGATTGAACATATAAATACTAACGTAGATATGTTACCTATAGGTAACTATTAGAGGGCCTAAAGAAGATGTTGAGAAGGCGAAACAACAATTACTTGAACTTACAAATGAAAAGCAATTGTCGAGTTATTCAGCTGAAGTACGTGCCAAAGTACAACATCACAAATTCCTTATTGGAAAAAATGGTGCCAATATTAAAAAGGTTTGCATGTTAATTACACTTATTAGTATATCTTATACTATGTAATTATATGTATATTAATTATAATTGTGCGCGTATTATATTTATTCTAGATAAGAGAGTCCACAGGGGCACGTATTATATTCCCAACAGAAGAAGATCAAGATAAAGAAGTAATTACAATTATGGGAAAGAAGGAAGCTGTCGAGAAAGCTAAAGCTGAATTAGAAGCAACAATTAGTGAAATAGTAAGTCTTTATTAAGTTTATTTTTAATTATCTTAAGGTTCGTTTTAAGTTAAAATTTCCTTTCATTATATATTTCAAATTATTGTTTATATTTATTTGTTTTATAGGATAATATTACTGAAGGTGAAATTCGCATTAGTCCAAGGCATCATAGACATTTTGTTGCTCGGAGAGGAGGTGTATTACATCGTATTGCAGACGAATGCGGTGGTGTACAAATCTCTTTTCCAAGAGCTGGTGTTGATAGTGATCGTGTAATTTTAAAAGGATCACATGAATGTATAGAAGCAGCAAAGCAACGCATGCGTGAAATTGTTCTAGATTTGGTAAATTTGTAACTTATTTTCTTTTTTTATTTTTTCTCGTAATTATTTTATGAATAAATTGTACGTACTATTTCTTAGGAATCAATGGTAATAGAAGAATGCATAATACCGCAAAAGCATCATCGTACAGTGATGGGAGCAAAGGGACGTAAAGTGCAAATGATTACATCCGAGTATGACGTACAAATTAAATTCCCTGATCGGGATACATATGGTTAGTATATAAAATAATATAGTATGTAAAGCTTTTTTTAGACAAAGAGTTACAAAGTTTTTAATTTTAGATGAGCAGCGTGTAATAGAACAAATGAATGGTGAGAATGGAGAAGTCGAAACTGTTCCAGCGTGTGATATTATTCGCATTACTGGACAACCAGAGAATGTAGCTGCTGCTAAACAAGCGCTGCTTGATCTTGTACCAATTACAATAGAAGTTGGTACTTTTATCAGTGAATTTATATATTGAAACATTTGACAAGTGGCAAAGAATTGTATGAATTATATCATTTTTAGGTGGAAGTGCCATTTGATCTCCATCGTTCTATAATAGGCCAAAAAGGTCGTGATGTGCGAGAACTAATGACCACATATGATGTTCATATCATGTTGTCTCCAGCGGAGGAAAAACTTGATTATATTAAGGTATAATGCAACGGTCAAATGAAACGTGAATATCAAAATGAAACAATATTTAATATTATTTAATATTATATTATTATTGTTCTGTTTAGATTTCCGGAACACCATCGTGTGTTGAAAATGCAAAACAAGCTATTTTGGACAAGTGTAAAGCTTTGGAAGCTGAACGTCAAGATAGAGCTTTAAAATCGTTCGAGTTAAAGGTACGTTTGCTTATGTTCGTGACGAACAAACATTTTAAAATAAAACATAATGCATTTCATTTTAGATCGAAGTTGACCCAGAATATCATCCGAAGATAATTGGACGAAAAGGAGCCGTGATTAATAAAATACGTAGTGATCATGATGTTCAAATTAATTTTCCACGCAAGGGTGATTCAGAAGAGCATGTTATTACAATTACTGGTTATGAAAAAAATGCGTGCACCGCAAGAGATGATATCATGAAAATTGTTAATGAATTAGTAAGTATATTATTTGTTTGAAATATTATATACTTTTTGTATATGGTAATTATTAATGAAAACTGCCTTTTTCATATAATTCAGAACGGCTTAACAAAAGAAGGAGTACATATAGATGCTGCTGTGCATTCTCGTTTAATTGGTTCGAAGGGAAGAAATATTCGTAAAATAATGGACGAGTTCAAAGTTGATATTAAATTTCCAAGAAAAACTGATCCTGATCCGAATATTGTAACAATTGTGGGTACAGAAGAGAATGTAGCTGATGCAAAGGATCGTTTGTTAAATTTGGAAGAAGAATATGTAAGTTTGCCATGAAATATGTATATAATTATTTATAATTGTAATAGGAAAAATTTATATAATATTTATTAAATTTCAGATTCAAGATGTTATTGAAAATGAACATCGCGAAAACTTGCGTTCACCTCAACGTGATGAAAGAAATTCTGGAAATTCTGGATTTGTAGTAAAAGGAGGACCTTGGGAACAGCAACAACAAAGTGCTCCAAATACAGCTAGCGTTGAAGAATTTCCACAATTTGCAGGATATTCTCACGTACCTGTAACTAATCCTGATGGTCCTTGGGGTGCGAAACGTTAATACTTAAATACGTATAAGATAACAATATATAACTTTCCTCTGACAAACCATACAGAAGGGTACATACATTAGTGCTAGGTGGTTCCCTGTTCCATTACTGATGTTGCTGCATACGACCTGGCCACTCTATTGGACTCTGATACTGGTTTACTACATAACGTTTGACGATGGTGTTTATATTTACAGTTCATATACTAATTATCTATGTATCTGTAACTGTAACGCATGATTTTAAGTTGATTGCCATGTTAGAAATATTCACACATACAGTCAGACGCAAATTGCGCGTGATTTCATTCGTCAAAGGAACATCTAATTTCTTCATTATTTTTATTTCTGCTGATATGCCTTTCAGGTACAGATATGTTGTACTTAAGACTGTGGCTTCGTAGGAACTAATTTTTGTGTATATTATATATTTCTCAGATTGTCTCTATCCGTATAGATTGCGTGGTTAAATATGTTTGCGTTTAACCAAGCATGTTTTGTTAATTTATTTATATTTTTTGTACATATAAATTGCATTTTTTTTTGTTATGTTGGACTTAAGTGGAATCACATCACAATGATATTAGAGTCTCTGTGCAAATTTTTTGTGAAACATGAAGCTTTAAGGTCTTTCTAAGGAAAACGTTCCTAGGTATAATTTCCTGCTTTTTTATAGCTAGTATAATTAATAAAATCGCTTTATACTCTTCAAATTTCAGTGTGCTATAAAGCGAACAAATCTGCCAATATATAAATGATCATGTATATTATTAAATGCTGGATTTAAGAAAAGCAGAAGTGTTAGTGATTATTATTGTGTATTGGGGGAACAATCTTTAGAAGGACTTGTTATTTTTTTACTGCTTTGCAGTGCAGTTAAAAATGAAACATGAAATCATTGGCGCTATATTAAAAAAAATAATCATGGATATCTATAATGCAAACGATACATCATATTCTTTGAATAGCTGATTTTATTTATTATTTCTATTTTACTGTTTGCTGTATGATGTGCAAATTTTTGCATTCTACTATTTATGAGGCCAACTAGCTAAGAAAAAAATATTCGGTTCAAGTGCCTTGTCTATTTTCTTCAAGACAGCTCATTTCAATTGTTGGAGGAATGTGAATATTAGATTATACATAATTATATATATAAATATACATATATACACATATATATGTATACATTATATAAATATTGATAATAATTACATTATTATATATAATCGATATAATAGCTATTGTACTACAGGTACAATAATATACTACTATCACACATAAAATAATAGATACTATCATGTATACAGAAATTCATCTATATTTTTTAGATTTACAGTAATTTTTATAAAACTACTTGGTACGACGACTTATATGTCATCTCTAATGCATGGTTTATACAAAAATGCCAGAATTAGCAATTTTAATATGCTTAGTTTTGGCTAAAAATTTGATAGATGCTGTGCATGAATGTACCTTTTTTAATGAATTATAAATACAAAGTAATTGTAATTATAAAATAATATTCTCTGTACACATTATGTCATAATACATGAATTGTACTGTAATAATATATATATATATAATTAATCTATTGTTAAAACAGCGTTATTTTTTCCTTTCATTCTTTACAGAAATATCTTTGAATAAATTTTAACATAATGTATTGTCATTTCATTCATTTGTTACAATATATTTGAGAACTGTAATTTTTTTAATTGCTGTACAAATCCTTCATTAGGTTTAATACAATTTCTTACATTTTTTACTTTAGTATATGCATCATCGTACGAGACTTTTTCGTAAGCCATTATATAAGATATAACAATTGCTGGAGAACGAGATACACCAGCATTGCAATGTACAAGAATATTTTCATTACGATGTTCGTTTATGATCTTAATGCATTTTTTAATTGCTACAGAAAGATCAGATTCAGGTAAATCTAACAAGTCACAATAATAGTATTTAATGTCATCAAATTTTATTGGTGCATCAACACCAATGCTTAAAATATGATGAATTTCATGTTTTTGCAAAATTCCTTTGCTTACAACAGGATCTTGAGAACTTACGTACAATCCTGGTAGTATATATGCGACCTGTAAATCAGGTCTATCATCTATAACAAATGGTGTTCCTGTAAGAGACAATTTTCTTTTTATTCCATTGATCTCTTCATATTTTTGACCAACCATGTTAGTTACAACAGTTCTGCATTTTTTCAATTGTATCTTTTTACTTTTTATTAGACTATTTAAATCCATTGTTACTGTACAAATAGTATTTTAAAAAAAAGGTAAAATAAATTAAAGTAATTAAAAAAAATTATTTGGTGACATTTATATGTATTCTTAAATGTACATTATATTCAATCTTCATTTAATGGTACCACTATACCATCATCGGATATTCTATACTTTATAATATGTTCATTCAAGTAGTCTTGGTTATACCCAACATTCAAGAGATATAAACCATGCGGTGGAACTAGTCCCAAAGAAGTCATATAATTCTTGTGTCCAGGAACTTGTAACATTACAGTTATATCTTTTTCTGTTATTTTACCTATTCCTAAAGCAAGTAAAGCAGTTACAATTTTTCTAACCTGTAAAAGAATTAATTCAAAAAATACATACATTATAAATATTAATATTATTAATATATTTATATTATTCATTATATTTAATAATTTTATTTATATTATTATTAATAATACATAGATACTAATATTACTAATATCTACATTTTAATGTATAACATTACATATATTGTTTAAAATAATATATATAAAATAATATTTTCTAATCATACCTGTTTGTATAAAAAACCTTTGGATGTACATTTAAAATCCCAGAAATCAAAATTTTCAGAGAAAGGATCATATGGCATAAGTGGAGAACCTTTTTCAAAGGTTAAACTATCCAGACTCCTTACATACCTAACTGGAGCATTTGATTTACGGTTTGAACAAAATGTTCTGAAATCTTTTAATCCCATAAAAAGTTGTGTTGCAAGGCTTATTTTTTCAGGATCAAAAGTTTCTGATCTGTAACGATTTATAATATTCATAAAAAATTATTTATTTATAAATCACCAAACATTTCCCAAGAACACAGGTTTAGATTATACCTAAAATGAAAGCAACGTTCCATTTCTATTATAGGAACTTTATGATATTTTACATCCTTTGCTTTTAGAATTCTATAAAGGTAAGTTCTAGAATTTGCACAGTGTTTTACATGAAAAGTATCTTTTACTGGAATCAAGTCCAATATCCTTAAAGCAAATATATTGTTAATATATTATTAACAAATTATATTAATGATCAAAAGATATAAAAATTAAATATTTGATTACCTTATATCATGGTCACACAGAATCAAATGCCTATTTAAATGTTTAAGTGACTCTTGGGGATTATAAATACTATCATATTTGTTTTCTATATCAATGTGAGCTATATTACAGAGTCCATGTACACCAGCGTCTGTCCTACAATTTGTTTTATAATAAAATTTGTTTTTTAAATACATATAATATGTATTTAATATCTTGCAATATAACAATAAATTGGCAATATATGAAAGTACCTACTACTGCAAGTTAATGTAGGCCAACTTAAAACTTGTGGAACTAATCTCAAAAAAGCACCCTCTATAGCTCCTTGAATAGTCTCAGTATCATTTATTCGTACCTTTGCTGATGGAATTATATTTTTTTGCATTCCTCTAAATATATAAAAAAAATTTATACTTTAGTATTTTAAAAATTGATATAGAAATATCTTTAAATTTTACTATCTATATTCCATAATTTGTGTAGAATATGAATTTGCATCAAATACGAATGTGCGTTTAAAATAAATCATTAAAAATAAGTTAAAAAATTACTCGTGTTTTAAATTATTAGAAATGAATGTACCTGTACTTTGTGCCAATATATGAAAATTTAATTAAATATCGTCTCATATTATATTAATTTAATACACATGCAATGTATTGTTAATTTAATGTAGATTCTACAACAATTAATAATGCTTATAATATCACAACTTATTTCTATGTAGTTAACCTTAAAGTCTTATGCAAGTGTTGGATTTATCGGAACTCTGCTACTACATACTGTATATACTACATGCCACGTGCTTGTAAATACACCTCCTAAAATGACATATTTATAAAATAAAAATGAAATAAACGTACTTCAGCAATAATTTGAACTCTTTTTTATTAACCGAAAATTTTTACAAAGTTAAAATTTTACGTTTTTTGTAACTGTTATGTATGTATTATGGAAATATACATAGATATCTTTTTCCATGAAAATTATTTTTAATTTCATTAATTAGTGTAATAATTGTATCGAAATAATTAAAAAAAAAACTAGTAATGTACTGTTTATTCATTCTCGTGGAATAATCATCGATAATCTATATTTCAATAATCGATAATCATCGATAATCTATATTTTAATAATCGATAATCATCGATAATCTATAATGTCAATGAAATTGGCGCAGATGAAAATAAAATGGAACGTGCATGTATTTCTAATCATCTTCGTCTTCAATAAAATAATATGCACGGAACAAATTTAAATTCATACAATAAAATAATCATATGCTTATGCAAGCATTGAGAGATTAAATCAATCTTTGTATAATTAATAAAGTAACTCGTGCTGTATTTTTAATCGATTCGTTCACAATTGTAAGAGCAGTTCACTTCGTTCAATTCAATTGAATTCGATACGTTGATGCAGCAATGAGGGCAAGATTCATTTGGTGGTGGAAAATTATCATACAATATTTGACAAATTGTACCATACACGGTGTTAAATATCTTGTGAACGATCAGCTTTCATTTGTAGAAAGGTAAACACTTTTATCTATCGTTAAAGGTAAACATATCGTTTATAAAAATTACAATTATACTGTTACTATATGTGAATTGCAATTTTTCAAATTTTAATTTTTTTTTTTACGCAAATTGAAAATTTGATGACGTAAGATATGGAATTACTTTAGATAGATATATAGATAGATAGATAGAGAGAGAGAGAGAGAGAGAGAGTAATTAATCAATAAAAATAAAGAAATTTTACTGATTTACAGATTATTTTGGCTAATATTTTGCGCGCTATCCTGGTACGGTTGCGCGAACATGATTAATAATGTAGTGAGAAACTATATTCAATATCCTATTGCTTTAACTACCGAAACCACATACCTTGATTGGCAGACACCGTTTCCCACAGTTGCTTTTTGCTTTACTGTCACTTCTCCCATTAAAAAACTTTTCAAAGGGTATGTTACATTGAAAATATCTTAAATCAAAAGTTATATTCAGTCGTTTTATAATTTTAATCGTCATTAAAATTAAATCATCACGAACTGGAACTTTTACTACTAAGCAATTATTACGTTTTAAATTGCAATTATTTATGTTTTAATATTTTGATCTTTTATTTTCTAAATGAAATTTTTTTGTTTTTTTTAAGAAACCCAGGATTGTTCACAAATTATCCCGATTCTAAATCTCTCCGTGAATCGTCAGAACATCTTCTGTCTCTTTATCAAACGGTGAGAGATCATTAATTTCTGTAAAGTTGAATATCGTGCTTGTCACATGCAGAAGTCGAAATATTGCGAATATTTATCGTTACCTCTGCTTGTCACAGATGCGCATTCCCTGTGAAGAATTCTTAGCAGAATGTACGTGGAACAACGTGAAATTTGATTGCTGCACTGAATTCAAGGAACTGAGGAAAACCGGCGTTGGTTATTGCATCGCGATGAATACATTTCATTCAAAACCAGGCGTACATTTTTTCGTAAATCGTACCGTGAAGTACGGTGATCTTGTCGTCGATATTCTGATGAGTGAAAAGATGAAAAAACAAATTTACTCTGGATTTACAGTTTGTATTCATTTTATGTCTTTATAATATTTCTATTCTATTAATCGAATTATCTTTTAGTTAAAAATTTATATAATTGTAGAATTAAAAATTGAAAAGTTAAAATTAATTTTATTCTATAGGTATAAGATGATTTTGGTAATTTATAATTTAATAATTAAATCACTTTCTCTGTGAAAACTTTTCAGAGGGCGTATTTTGAAGTTGATGTCAGATGATTAAAAAATAAGAATTACAACCATTCCTAAGATTCTTTTAAAAGTCAAAGGCAAATATGTAACATATAGGCTAAGTTTTTGATAAAGCACATCGAAATTTGATCGAGTACTGCAGTTAGCTTTTCCAATTATCTGAGGATTATACGTGTATCACTAATGAATGATTAAAATAGCCTTGTAGAAACGTAAATTAATAAGAGTTTATATTTCTTATATCTTCGAGACTTTAATTAAAGCATGATTAACTTGAATCATTGAAAATCAAACATATTTCTTAATAAAAGCATTTTGTTTCTAAATTGCTAAATGCTTGAAAGACTATTATTTTGTAAATCTGTTATTACTATGATTACTACCAAATTTTGGATTATAAAATATTATATTATAAATTCCTATACAATGGTTTCACTACTAAAATAAACACAAATTTTTAGGTACATCTACTGAACAATTTGAAATTGCCAATTCTTAACAACGTGGATAAAGGTGATATACCTATAAAATCCGGCAAAACGACCCGAGTCGAATTCACAATGCAGGATACGTTCAATGAGGACGGCGTGAAGAAAATTGCGGTCGAACATAGAGGCTGTCGGTTTCCCGAAGAAACACGAACGAACAATCTATTTAATGTTTACAGCAGCGATTCGTGTTATCTGGAAGTACGTCGATTTTTCTCTTTCATCGCGAATATACCAACGTTGCTTTCGAATATATTCTAATTCCCGTTGTCGGCCGACGGAGAAATGGTAATTTATAATTCTATGTTGGCACTAATAAATTAAGTGCTATCCGTCACTAGGTGATTATAGAACGAATGATAAAGCTCTGCGGTTGCGTGAATTTTTATTACTTTGTGCCCCGAGGGGCGAGAGCTTGCAACGGCACCGAGATGCTTTGCATAATTGAGAATAAGATGAACATCGATTTGCAATCGCTTAAAAATGAAGGATGTCTTCCGGATTGCGAGGGGACATCATTGGTTGTGTATGAATCTTATAAAAATCTTACGCTCACAAATGAAATTTCTGCACGAGATGGAGTGATCCATCTTATTTTAAATGCGAATACGTTTGAACGCACCTGTACATTCGAAAAAGGACATTAATTGAAAAGAAAAATTATATATAGATTAGAATAATTTTAAAATATAGACTAATGTTAAAAAAATTGAGAAATCTTAAGATAATCTGTATCTTACAAAATAGCGCATATTTTTTGAAAAAATAATTATTTCACACGCTTTTCTAAGCAGCGTATGATTTTCTTTTTCAATAAAAAAAGATATTTTTTGATTTGTTCCTTTTTACAAATTAATTTATGATATTTTTCAAGCATAATATTTCGTATTGCAGAAATCATTTGGAACCTTCGGAATATGATTCTCCTAGTCGAATGTATGGACGACTTCATTTTACATTGCTATCACATCCAACGATGCGATATCGTCGATATGTGGTCAATGATCTTTTAGATGTCATAGGTAAACGTTTAATAATAGTAATTGACAGTATAATGATTATTCAGCATTGTAGAAACAAAGATTTTTTTTTTACATTTGCATATATTTTTGAATAGTTTTTTTCCATTACCAGTGCTATTACCAAACAAGTTTTCTTCCGGCAGCAAAGAGAGGAGATTAGGAAAACATCTATCTATTCTGATAGATTTATACAAAGTTTGTAAATGACAAACAGCGTAATGACGTTAAGTTACTTTTAGTTACCGTGTAGTTAATTGTATAATATTATCTGAATTATCTGAAAAGAAATTCGTTTTACGAAATAACAAAGATTTTCACTCTGAGATAGAAATATATGCAAATTGTATAATAATTAGTATGTCGAATCACTTGTTACCATTCTCCTTGATTATTATTTCTTGCCGTTATTAATTGTTTGACACATAAACCTCTGCTGTAATTAATATATAAGAAAGTTTTTACCTTTGATATCTGTAAGAATTGAAGTTGAAACGAGAAGTTAAACTTTATTATATTATGATAGTAAAATAAATCAGACTTTACGTTTGTAAGAAAGTTTTTAGATATATCAAGTATTAAGTTTATCAACGTCTGAAATATCTTGTAATTACTTAACTACTTAATTACTTATTATCTTGCTAGCTACTTAATTATTTATTATCTATAGTTTCTGTTGGAAGTGCACTTGGTCTCTTCATGGGTGCCAGTATCTTAAGCATCTTTGAAATACCGTATTGGTTATTTGTTCGTCGAGATCGAATAACGTAAAATTCAAATCTTTGAGTCAAAGTATTAAAACGTGGATGAAGATTGATTTATGCCATCGCTTTTCCACGTTAAATTTAGCTACTGCACAAGCTTATCGATAAATATGTACACGAAGAAACAAATACAGATATCCTGTTATAAATATGTCCAAGATACAATTCAAAAGGACAGCAAGTGCTGGTGCTTATATAAAGAGGAACGGTAACTAACGTATTTACTTCCTCAACCATGTCAAAGTCAGAGCTGGAAGTTCGAATCGCTTCACAATGCTCGAACAACGAACAATCTCATTCCGATGTGGATACTTGTCGACATTTGCTAACCTTTCAAGAAGTGCAAGCTTTAGTGAATCGTGCGATAGGTAACGATGCAGCGGTGCAAAAGTTCTTCCTGGGATCGTATTCTGACAAGAAGATTGGATTTCTTGGATCACACCAGAGACTTAGCGTGGAAATTAAAACACCAAATAAAAAAGATATAAATATTCTGTCATTCTTCGTTAAAGTCGTGCCGTACGATCTACCGGCCCAAGCTGAATACGTGCTCGACAAATGTGCCTTTTTGAAGGAGAATATCTTCTATCATGATATATTTCCTCAGCTTTGTCACGAGTACAAGGGCGAACCGTGGACAGCAACTTGTTTCTTGTCCAAAGATAATTTGTTGGTATTCGAAGACCTAGGTGCTAAAGGCTACTCGTTGAGGAATAAGTTGTTTGACAAGGAGCTTATTGAATCCGCTTTAACGACCATCGCTAAATTACACGCATGCTCTTTATTGGCGGAGGCACGTCTTGGAAAGTCCTTGAAGGAAATGTATCCATGTGCCTTTGTCGAGAATGCCTTTTCTAAAACTGGTAAAACTAGAACGTGGTTCGAAGTAAGCGTGAATGCCATCGTTGCCGTGGCCAAACATCTTGGTCTGAATGCTGATCTCGTGCCAAAGGCTTGCGAAGAAGTATACGCCGCCTTGGAAATGTCAACTACGAAGAGAAACGTTGTTAGTCATGGAGATCTATGGGGGAATAATTTCATGTTCAGCAATACCGCTCCTCCTAAGTGTTCGTTGATAGATTTTCAATTATTCAGGTATTCCCCTCTGGCGCACGATGTGATACAGTTGCTATATCTTTGCGCTGATCGTGATTTTAGAGAAAAATGGGAGGAGACCATGCTGAGGCATTACTATAGCGTGTTGCGTGAAGTATTGAATTCGGCGGAATCAGTTTCTGTACAAGTTCCATCATGGTCAGAGTTAATTGCGGGAATGGAAGAGCAGAGATTAGCTGCTGTGATCACTGCGTGTACGTATTTTCAGATTACACTGATGGATGAGAAAATAGGTGCGGAAATTATGAATGATCCCGACAGTTATCACGAGTTTGAATTTAAAAATAGAAACGAAACGTTGATTGAAATAATGAAAATCGATCCGGTGTATAGAAAACGACTGTCGGAGACTGTTACTGAATTAGTCGAGTTCAGTTTTCGACTTGACAAAATACCAAAACCAACGTAAAGTTAGAAAATTTCTTATTTAAATAGCTGCGCATTAAAACGAGTTTTTAATCAAAAATTAAAATCAAGTTGTATTAGTTAATTATTACACGATGTCTTAATTTATGTACAATATTTATATATAATCATAGATACTATATTTATCGATGTTATGTATATCTATAAATAAAAATAGTTGCTCTTTCTTGTACTTATATAGTATTGTTTAAATAATTCATTAAAAAATCTATGATCATTTCTTTTGTCAATCATTTTATAAACGATTAATCTTTCGCGTGTAAAAATAAAAATCTTTATGTTGAGTCGTAAAATTTTATCAATTTTCAATTTCAATTACTTCTTGATCTGGAAGTATAGTTTTAAGGAAAGACCAATCATGATCGACAAGTTGCACTTTCGACTCATCAACATCGTCAATTTCAGTTACAGGTGGGGATTCATGACGTTTCGGACGTGATAGTTCTTCTTCGCTTTCCTCCGATTCTTCATCATTCTGCATCGTTTCATCTCTAAACAAATTGAAATGAAAAGCATGCAATTTATTTAAAATTAAATTATCATTTCAAAAGTATTATTTGAGAATTTGTTTAACCAAAGAGTTTAACTATTAATTTTTCTTTCTAAATACAGCATTTCATTTCTGACGATTTTCATTCATGATTTGTTAAAATTACAGAACTTTAAACGATTATGAAATTTTACATACTTATGGAATGTAATTAAAGAAATGAAATCAAGGCTCTTATAAAGGCACTTACTAAATAAATAACGTTATAACGAATATTTTGGTAATTTTGGCACTTTTACATTTCTTATAAAAAGGAATCTGATAATTTATTAATTACAAAATTTTATTAAATTACCTGTCAATTTTATCGTCTGCTGCTTGAGTTTTAGAGACGGATGACGACAGCAGAGATGTAATGAATGATGCACAGAGCATCTTCATGGATGGCAATGTGTGGGCTGAGACGCTGAGAAGCTGGAACATATGATTAATAATTAATATTGGCTGAAATATTAAAATTTACGCAACGTCTGATGAAAAAATTTCAAACATCTTTCTGAGGGAGTAAGGAACAATTAAAATATTCCTCTTCTCAATAGAGATGTCTGTTTACTTAGACAAAAATAAATAACGAATCAAAGAGCTATACATGTAACTACAGTCCGGAAAAACGTGTATGATATTTGACGCGCGTTTACTTTTTTTAGAAACAGTCAGTTGTGACGCTCACGACGTCCGATTAGTTAATTAGTCTTAAGGCTGACGCAGGCACACCCCCGAATGAAAATTTCTGCAATTCCTGCAATCTTCTACTTCAGATCTAGGTTGACGCGTCTCTTACAACCTACACGAATATTCTTCTCGGTATACACCAGTTTTCGCCAGAAAGTTGCTAGAAAAGACGCACGTTTCATCAAGCGAAATTTTATCGAGAAATATCTACGGTCTCGCAGAGTGTTTTTTCAATCGATTGTTATTGATTATACATAGTAAACATGCTACTTTAATAACTTTGTAAAATCTCTTTCAATCGATGACCTCTGAGATATTCGTACAATACTAAAATTCTTGAAATAATTGCAATCTTCAAATACTAAATTAATAATAACCGTGTTGACGCGAACGTGTTAAACGAGTAACAAACGTAACGCATTAAGCGTATGGAACGTGATAAAAAATGAATAGAATTTGCAGAAAAGAAGTAATATTGTTGTACAAGTGTCTCGGAAGAGCAGAATGGCGAACAGTTTAAAAGAATCTAACGAGACGAGATACAGAATATTCGTTGCGATACACACCTACACATGAAGAGAATACGATTTTATTAATAGGTAACATAACAATCAGGACAGCTCCCGTGGGAGATAAGACTTTGTTCCTAGCTTCCTCTAACAGGTTCGTCCTGACCTGGTTTTACCGGAACATTTGCAAACAATTCCGGAGCGACGTTGAAAACCACCGTTCTCCATTGTGCACCGTAACGAGAATGAATAAAGGAACGTACTGTCGAAAGTTTTGATTCTTCGGCCGGTTGCTGGAACTTTGTTTTCCAACTCGTTAATCTTCCCGAAGAATCGAAAACTTAATTATATGTACAAAGCCTTTGCTCGCCAACCAGCGATCTATCATAATTTTTATCGGAGTAAATGTCTGGGAGCAGAGACGGCGAAACGTCGAGAGAAAGATAAAAATAAATTACCGAATAAATTAATAAATTGTAATAAGTGGAGATATGAAATTTATATAACGGTATGCCAGAGTGTTTTAATATTGAAGGCAGCGAATGTTAATATTGAATCAAGTGCAATTCATCAGGGTGAGCTTAGAAATATAAAATTAAATGATTGATATTGAGTGGAAAAGTAATGTGAAGTAATTGTTGTTAAAAAGAAAAAAAAAAAAAAATTTCAATCTGGAAAAATATGAAAAAATGTGTTTGACTTCTATGTAGTGTATTTTTAGAAAAATATGGAATATAGATGGTACAGTCACGAAGTGGTTCATAAACAATTAAGTCGAATATTCCACAGAACTGACGCAATGTGCAAGAAAGCTATGAGTTAACGGATATCCGTGTACGAGGTGGACTTATCCAATTAATTAATAGTTGTCAGAAGTGTTACGTTCACTTTTATGACGTCATTTATACACTCTCAAAATTCAAAACATCTCAATTAATCACATCTCAAGATACCTTTGTGAATAGAAAAACGTAAAAGAATATTATTCGCAAAAAATTAAAAAATGATATCATATGAATATATATTCTGTACTTTCAATATTTATATAAGTAACTACTGAAAATTATTTATAAATAGTAACCACAAATTTTTTCAATAGTTCAAGTTACATGAATAACATAGATATAGATTTCTACATATTTTCTTTAAACAACAATTAAAACTGTCCTGCAAAAAAAAAAAGACTTGATAAAGTTTTGATATATTAAAAAAGTAACTTTCATAGGTCTCTGAACACTCCTTTAGAATTAATTATACGATGTATTCGTATTCTCCATAACGTTATTATTAGTGATCATACGGCCTTAAGGATCGCAGAAACTCGTGTGATGATCCTTAATTTGCTTAGCCTCCAGACGCTAAAGGCGGTCTCCAAATGGGGCAAGATTTAACTTTTAGACAAGCTGATATTATCGTGTTCATTTAAATGATCACAAACCGACAAAATGTACGAGACAGTTCAGGCCAAGTCTCCTCTCTCTCTCTCTCTCTCTTTCTCTACTCTTGTCTACTTGTTGCACCAGCTCGGTTACGATAAGGGAAACTCAGTCTATTGATTTTGCATTGGCCTTAAAGCGGTGAAATTTTGTAGCGGTACACGTGGGTATCCCTTCTCGAGACCAATCGCTATTGTTCTCTGGATTGCTCGCGCACGACCGTGATATCAAACGATCAATTTATTTTCGAATTTCGCCCGTATCAATTACAAATCCGTTGTTATTCTGAAAGAGAAGCGAAGATGTACATTCTTCTTCCTTTTTTTCGGTTTTTTAATTGTTTTATAAAAGAATTAACGTTTGATGCGATTTTCAATATTCGGGAGGTGTTTGAAAAGAATCCTTCAATATTGTTAGATGTGACCAGGCGTCTGCGGTACTTCAAGTTGAGATTTTTCAAAGAATTATTCTGGCTGTGATTTCAGCCATGTACTTGGACAATTTCCGGGAAGATCGAGACGACTCATTGAGCGGCGTGTGCCGAAGGTTTTTCCGTCGAAGACAATGCCCTAGGTCAGAGGGACAACTGGAACGCCGTGAGAGGGTGGGAGTGCGGAGAAGCAGCTCCTATATTAAATCATGGCGAGGCCACTACCCAAAGTCAGTTCCACGTTGAACGCTCAGCCAAGAAACTCTTCCCCGACGACTCTATCGATCATTCTATCGAGCAGTACGTTACCATCTCTTGTAGCTCTCTTTTGTGAAGACATCCTGGTGGAGAGTGTTCATTCTACATTGTCGTCGTTCCTCAGTATATTTCAATATTAAACAAAAGGTAAATTTAAACGGAAGACATTGAAATTCTACTGGATCTGTCTGATATTCTTCACTCAACAAACATTTGGATGTTTGTGATTGACCAAATTTTTTTTTAAACATCAAGCTCTGCGTGACTGCGCTCTTCAAATAAGTTCCCTCGTGCATCAAGAGAGATTGGAAGAAAGTTCTCTACATCTGTCGGTTCCTCGACACAACATCGGGCATGAAGTTAACTGCGTGGAGTTTTGTGTCGTGCATCCTGACAGTCGTCTTTTTCTTGGCGGTTGCCACGTCCGCGTATCCTGCTAGCAATCCAGAGATAGTGAGTACCTTTCCTCATACTCTTTCAATGAAACTTGGACACTACCTACAAGTTGTTCCGTTTCTCTTTGATTATTCGATATGTTTATTATGCTACTTTGATTAAATGTATATCGGCACGTGTCCTCCGTGTTCAACGTCCCATCGTGTTTTCCATTTTCGTTGCACTTCACATTTCTTTCTCTATTTATTTCTTGCCTGCGAATGATTTGAAATACTGTCTCTCGATGCGAATCCTGTACGAATCGTAGCCACGTGCTGAAAGTGGCGCGTGGGCATCTGGCTGGGGCTTTGACTCGTAAAGTCGCGTTGACTCTCTGCGAATTAGGCACGTAGATGCAGTGGAAAGAGCTATGGAGTATAGGAAGACATATTTGTAAGTCAACCTGTTATACTATCCAGCGACTGGATGTCCAAAAATTCTTAAATCGGCATGTACCTTCTGAAAATGAAACAGTCGTCTTCGTACCATTAATTTCTCATTGTTACATTCTTGTTTTCACTAAAAAAAAAAAAAAATAATCATTCTGTAGGTTTAGAAACTGATAGTTTTAATGAAGTAGCAATTCTAGCAATCAGAAAATGTTATCATTAGGTCGCGTGAGTTTGCAATGACAAAATGGAACGAATAGATAAAACGAAACACGTAATACACGTGTACACCGATAATTTCGCCTGAGATGACATAATTCGGTCATCGATAGTCACATAGTTACAACGGAGGCTTTCTCGACTAGTTAGATAGTCAAGCTATAATTGAATTTCCAATTAACAACCCCACGTTCATAATTGATTTGTTACTTCGTATGAAATATTTCTCAAGCGAAGAGGAATTTTTGTTTAATCTTTTACGTGCAGAAATCAACAAAAATAAACAGAGATCCGTATTTTCCTCCTGACTGGCACGTGGGATGCATATGATAACGTACCGAGCACGAGTGGACATTGCTCATGAACGGTCCTTATTAAATCAATCTCTTTTCTCTACTTGTATTGGTATATCTAATCAAACCGAACTGTAGACGGTACCGCAAACAGAATTTTCATGCTTATGAAAAATTCCTTTCCAATCGTTCGATTATACTTAACTTCGCGAAAGCCGCAATCCGGAGAATTCTTTATTCTTCGCGAGTATTATTTTTACTTCAAAAATAGGAAAATCGCGTGGAATTATTTCGAGTATAGCACATGTTTAATTATGCGTGATTAAACGCAAATTAAATTCAGAGATTAAACAGAAAGCAGCATGTGTTATCAAAACAGGAATGATAAAAACAATTGATAAATAAAATTCGCGTGAAAGGGAGACACTTCAGATTGCGGCTTCGTTTTATCGAAAACAAGCTGTTTGATCTATTTATATTTGTTTCATACTGCAGATGATTTTTTTTTGAGTTTTATTAAACGTTGCCAATTATTTTTTTAAGATGTATAACTTGCAGGCGATCGAGAATATGCGACAAATCCCGCAGTGGCACTGCCTCCGCTATAGAAAATTCGATCTCGTTCGCCGCTGTCGGAATTACCGTTTAGGGAGGAAACACTGACAAATACAAAATCATCGCAATCCCGGATGGACAACGACGACAAACAAATCACTATATTTCAAGTTCCATCGACCAGCTGTTCTCAATGTTTTGCTGCACATGTTCAAACTTATATAAAAACGAGATAAGATGTATAACGAATCATAATAACATCTCTATGACAAACTTGTAAATTACTTGTGAACTCAGTTGATAAATGGAGCAATATCACTTACATAGATTCTGATCTAATCCTTCGTATTTTGTCATTTACTTCAAGACTGTATCTCCAAGATTTCGAAATTCATCTTAAACTTTCACGTTGCACGAATTAGAGATGAAAAAGAAGACAGGTAAAAGGATGAGAACATCTTACGGGATAGCAACTTTGAGAAAAAAGAAGTTCAATAAAGATTGTTACATGTTGCGTTAAGTTATTAATATCACTGTACTTCTATGTCTTACTTAATTATTTATATATTATTATATGAACAATTGTGTATGTATATATATATATATAAACATTGATCTCATCGTAAAATGAGAGTATGTTCTAGAATAAAATTATTTTTTTTATCGCAAAAGCGGTTTCAAAATAACACCTACCTGTTGAATCACACATTCGATATGTCAATTAGAATGATGTAAATTGCAAAAATATATTTTAATTCACTTACCTCTTCTATCATTCCTTTTCCTACTCTTCCCAATTGTTCGTGCATATATGGACTGGGTACTTCCCTGTCTGTGGTAGTCTTGCTCGCTACTAAATTACTAAAGGCGGTCGCAGGAACTGTTGTGTTCGGTAAAATTTCCAGAGAAACCATCACTTCGGATTCTGGTTCTAACGTTAGTAATTCCTATGAATAAGACAAGTGTACAGATACTTTATATAAATTTATCCCGTGTACATTCACCATGTATACGTACTTGATTAGAATCTAAAAAGAAAAGCTGCGATCTTCGTTGCCACAGTCCGTATGATGAATCTTGTTTCATTTTTAAATTTGGTACAAACGCAGCACCCAAGATAAAACTGTCGTTTTCGATGACATTTTTTCTCGTATAGATGGGTTTCGATTTTTGGGGCGTGAATACAAATACTGAAATTTAATAGATCGCAAAATGAAAATTTTCGCAGCTTTTAAATCAAATTGTAAACTTACATGAATTATCGGTTGTGAATACAGCCATATATGTCGATTTTGGGTCTGCTGTAAGAGTTGCAACATTTAAAGGTACACTCCATATTAACGTAAGCGACAAAATATTCCACACTGCAATGTGCTGTGCTGAAGCTACTATCACAAGGTGGCAGGCATCTTGTTTTCCAAATTCAATTCGTCTATATGTAAATATAAATAATAATACCAATGTTGCTTTTGTGATTATTGTAACGATCATTTTTCATGAAACTTACGTTATTGGATATTGATATTGATTATGCGTAAGGCTACATTTAAATGTACAAGTATCAGGAGTCCACATTGTTAGACTAGAATCAAAACCAATACCGACTAATGAACCATCGATTGAGAAATCAGCGTCTGTTGCAGGCAGATTTCTATAATCTCCTATGCTATGGCACTGCCAACATTTGTTTTTTCCTACAACAAATTTAATTTAATTCTTGAAAATTAATATTACCATCTTCTTATTATGATATAAGAAAGGAATAAAATGCAGAAATTTTACGCACTACGTGTGGATGAAGGTTCTACAAGATGCCACAATTTGAATTTTTTATCCTTGCCGGTTGTAATCGCTAGTGTTCCATCATCGAACAACAAATGTGGTTGGAAATGCAAAGCATTTACACCGCCTTCATGAGGAAGCTCGATTGATGTGTTTAATGCATACCTAACAAGTTAACATAATTAACTACAAATATCTATAAGTCAAAAATACATAGTCTATACTTACTGTTGCTGTTTAATGTCATACATCCAAAATTTCAGTCTCACTTCTATACACGAGACTTTATCGTTTCTTTCTTCAACAGTTGCCATCCACGAACCGTCATGATTTAATGCTATCTTCGTAACTTCTGTGTTTACAATAATTACACTACGCTCTTGAGTTAAAAAATTTTGTGCTGTAATGTTTATCTGAAAATTTATTAACATTTTAATAAATTACATAAAATAAGATTTTTATTCGTTTCATCTTGTATTGCTACTCACATTATACAACAAACTTTTCGTATGGGTATTATAAAACTGAACATGCCCGGTGCGACTGTTTAAAACTAAACAATTCGTACGTGGATCAACAACGAGGCCAGCAGGGAATAAATCTTTAGAAGACAAGGTCACACCCCATGTAAAATTTTGTATGACTGATGTTAATTTTCTTTGTGGATTTACAACCACAATACCTATGAACGTATTTATAAAATATATATAAATACTTTTTAAAATTATAAATATATTTTATTTAATCTCTTGCGCTAGTAACTGGTTCACGGACCAAAACGTATATAATAATTTGCCTTCTTTTTTGAATTCATCGGTATATTACTGGATAGAAATTACTAAGTAATAAATTTATTATTTGTTTTGCCTGGGTTATATTTCAATATACTTAAAACTGAGAAAATTTTGGGCCAAATATTCTCGACGTGCGTGGCACGTCATTCCAACGCAAGAGGTTAACAAAGAAATATTCTCTAAGAAAATAAACATTATTTTACAATTAAAAATATTTATACCATTGTCTAAAGTAGACACAGCCACGTATAAATTATCCGGAGCAATAGTAAGATGTTTAATGGGTGCAGGTAATCGGGGAAGAAAGGATTTAAGATGTGGATTTGCTAAAACCCACTTCACTAACACACATTCTCCACCTCCAGTATACATATGACCCCCTACAATTTTCATAGTACATAATTATTGTTGAAATCTAGAAAAAAAAATCTTAAAATATATATATTGTACCTGATTTACTGAATGCTATTTCTGTAACAGGCAATGTATGCCAATGATAAACTGCTGTATAAGGTCTTATCTGAAACAAACTCTTCCATACTACTACACGACCAGTCGAATCTCCAGTAGCTACACACTCTTCTTCTGGATGTCCAGCAATACATGTTGGAATTCTGCCTGTTTTACCTGTTTTATGTCTGTAATTACAAAATGAAATAATGTTCAAATATTTTTCATTCAAAATTTAAATCTGTCTTTAAAGTTATATATATATAACGTATTGTACATACAATTTATCAACAAGATTTCTTGATGGACACAATATGTGCAAATCCACATCATGAAGAAGTGCTATTAAGTTGTCACCATGATTACCGATTATATCAACATAATATTCACGAGACTTTGTTCTGTAATACATAATCAACATAAATACATAATACAGAGAAGTTTCTTTCATAATATTATTGGAATACAAATCTTTCTTACTGTATACATGTCGATTTTGTACAAGAACCATGATCTAAATCAAATAACACTATATAAATTTTTGCATTGCATTTGGAAATATATGTTACAAGTACTTGACGAAACTCATTTCCTTTGTGGGTTTTGTAATTTACAATATGAAATGTTTTTATTTTTGGCTCATCTTGAAATTTTAATTTCTGTAATGTAACACAATTGTAGAATTACGAGAGTTTCAAAGAGTTAAAACATGATCTATACTGTTATAGAAAATACATTTAATATTCATACTAATTTTTTTGTGATAATGCCACTCTGGCAACTCCAAAAATTCAATTCTCCATTTTCTGTGCAAGCAATGATCAGATTTGGATTCTCTGGATGTATAATCAATCCTGCAATTCTGTTACTCGCCGGTTCCAACTCTTTAACAAAGTCTCCAGTTTGTGTACTGTATGCTCTTATAATATGTTTCCATACTATGTACAATGTTCTGTAACATACACAAGATTATTTTAAAAAGGATGTTAACTATAAATTTTCTTTTCAATGATATCTACTTATGTATACAAATTCAGTACAATGCACTTTCCCACTCATTATAGCACTATCATTGGTTCTACATGAAATGATAAGTTTTGCATTTAAGTGTTAAAAAATATTATTGAAACCTACTCTCCATCGTGTGAAAAAACTGGCCGTTGATCAATTATACTTCCTCCGCCTTTTCTCGTCAAAACTAAATCATCTATATCAATTACTTCGATATTTTCAGAGCTGCGTCGTTTATTCAATTTCATCTGCATTTTGTTAGTTAATTCGCAAGGGACCAACGTTTTTAAATAATTGTATATTAATATTAATAATGTAAGTTCCACATATTAACGACGAAAGGTAATTTTGACAACTGTACACGTGTTACACATGAATTAACCAAATCAAAATGCTGATCACATGGTGTTCTCCCGTCAAGCTCCAATAAATTTCCGTAACTATGGTGAAGAGAATATCTAGACAGATGTAGCTCCGTCTCGCGGGATCGTAACGTAGTTTTTCATAAATGTGACAATTGCACAAAAATTGGAACTTATTCAATCAGTATACTTTTTTTCATGTATCTAACATTGAATGAAAATGTAATGAAATTAAATATATCAAATGTAATTCAAAAAATGTAATGAAATTAAATATATCAAATGTAATTCAAAAAATTTATCTACATATTTACTATAATAATTGGAATTACCAATTAGTGACAGCTTATAGTGTTCCATGAACTATATTTTGGCGGGTTATTTGATTTTTACATAAGCAAAAATGGAATAATAAAAAAATTTCATAATTATTAACTGCAGTAAATAAAAAAGAACAATAAAACAGTTGAATTTCCTCTAGAAACATCGATTTCTTTAATCGTTTTAGAGAAAAGTACGGTAATATCTTCTGCTTCTTAAACAAAGTGTTTCGATTTATTGAACGAAATTTGCAACTTTATTTATATATTTTACAAGTTAAATGGAATATAAGAGGAAAGCTTAGGGTTTAGAAATGAAGACAAAACTGCAAAAGTTTATAAATTCGACCTTTTAATCAGTTTTTTTTACAAATGAAAATTTGGACAATTTACCGGCACTGAAATGCTAGCGTCGCGTAGCGGTGAAAAGATGGAACTAGAATCTATCAGTGTCTTTGTCGCACACTGTTGCTCTCTTTGTTTGTCACATTGCATAACTCTGTCCTTGTTGTAGGCTATTGCGTTCCTTGTTTAAGAACAAATGGTGTGTTGCCATCTGTCGGAAATAGTTAGAACTAAATGGCAGGTTGTAGCGACCTCTACTTCGAAGAATTTAGATCAACGACATCTATGTTCCGTCGAGATGTGTATTTAATATAAACAATAGAATATTTAAAAATAGCTATTAATTTTGAATAGAAATGTTTACTGACACTTATATATATTGTAGCCATAGTAGAAATTCTTCATTCGTTATTTCGTTATTTAACTTTCATTTATAGAAATTATTCGTCATTTAAATTCCATTATGTAATATAAACAACTAAAATTAATTACGGAGTTATTATTTATTTATAGTATTGTAATATAAATATAAAATATCATAATCACTATATGGACAAACAATGTGCTGCCATCTGTCGAACATAATGAGAACTATCTAGCGGGACAAATAACGTGCTGCCATCTATCGGATGTTTCCTTTTTAGACTTTTAGTTCCAGTCGGATCTGAGAGATGGTTAGATGGCAGCACCATCCGTCGACAAGGAGAGCTATAGTGTGCAACAAGAACAGACTTATGCAATGTGACAGACGAGGAAAGCAATAGTGTGCGACAAAGACACTGATAGCTTTTAGTTCCATCTTTTCACCGCTATGCGACGCTAGTATTTCAGTGCCCGTAAATTGATCAAATTTTCATTTGTAAAAAAAACTGATTAAAAGGTCGAATTTATAAACTTTTGCAGTTTCATCTTTATTTCTAGACCCTAAGTTTCCCTCTCATATTCCATTTAATTTATAAAATGCATAAATAAAGGTTCGCAAATTTCGTTCAATAAATCGAAACTCGTATTGAAATAATATTTTATTTCTCGTAAATCACATTCAAAATTTCGATCAAAATTATTCGTAAATATAATTAAAGCTGTGCACAATAAGTTTCACATGTTATGATTATAAATTTTTACTCAATATGTTAGTTATTAAAAGTCATTTTATGTCGCACTATTGTACGTCTCATTATAGGATCGATGTTATAAATTTGCGCATGTTTAACGTTATACTAAATTAATTTATAAACATTTCCGCGTGCAATATAAAGTATAGAATTCAAGAAAGTTTGTACAATCACACGAGAATTTATTTCACAGTATGTTATAATAATTTTTAACGTATTAATGTCGCAAATCTTGTGACATTTCTTTTAATTGATATTTGTGAAATTATCGGCATAAATTCTAATTTATCTCAATTCTGAATTTTCATATAATAATAGATACAGTGTCAACAATACAGCTTATAATATTTATTTATTTTTAATTTTATTTATATACAGTAAGGAATATATACAAATGTATGATAACGAAAACTTGATGTTTTAAATTTTTATAACATCGTAAGGAAATATCATATAACAATCTATATGGTCTCGTTTTAAAATGTGAAGCCTCTGTTTTAAAAGCTCCTAAGTTCCGTTTTTCTTAAAAATATCTTTGTATCATGTAGCGGGTGGGAAAGTAAAATTTTATTCTCGAGAATGATAAAAATTCTTTAAAAAAGAGAATGATAAAAATTCTTTAAAAAAACATTAGGTCTTGAACATTGAAATTTCCTCTTTACAATGGTCCTTTAAAATTCGCTGTACGATCTTTTTTCACTGTTTATTTAACTTTGAACATTAAGGTTGAACGACGAGATGTTAGGATTTCTTGAATCTTTGATATTTGACAAAAGCTTTTCGTTAAATTCGTTAAAATCTTCATCTCGCTAAAGCGCGAATGATTTAACTTCTTTTTAAATTACGAACATCAATTTCTCAGAGTAAAATAATTTTTTAATATAAACCATCTTTTGATGCTTGTGGTGTAAATTCAAATTGTCTGAAAATGAAATAAGTTAAAATCCACGAGTTTATCGAATAATGAAAAAGCAGCAAGTTGCAGTAAAAGCAAAAAAATAATTATGTTGTTATAAAACAAAGTTAATGGAAGTTGTTTCTTTATAAATAAAAAAAAAAAAAAGGTTGAGAATTCGGTTCCCTTGTAATCTAACGATGAATCCGAAGACTTGAATTTGAACTTAAATTTAAAAAGCAATATTTAAAACTAATTGTAAGACTTAAAATATGTCTGCTACTGAGTTCGAAAAATATATACTATAGAAAATATATACCTATATTTGAACAATTTTCAAAAAATTAATGTATTTTAATAATTTTAAAGATGGAAGTAAATATTTATGCGCTCAAAATACATTTGGAAATTGAGAGCACAGTGGCTTCGTTTTTATGAAGATTATAGAATATTTCACAAACGTGTGAAATTTTTCCTTTCGTTTGTAATAATAGTAATTTATTGTAATAATAATAATTTATAATAATAATAATTTAGCATTATTATTTATTATATTCGACTACTTACCTGGTTTTCAATAACGTAGGACATGAAGAAACATGGTATGCCAGGCTTCTGTCCATAGCTTCTACTTTCATCTATATTTTTAATTTTAATCTGAACGAAAGGAAATATTATATGCGTTTCATTGAAACATAAAAATTTGTTACTGCATTTGTTACTCTAAATTTTATGTTATAGAATATATTAGATTAGAATTGTATTTATAACAAAATTATTACTATTTTTTACACGATCGGTATCTCACATCATTACCCGCACTAGATCAATTAATTTATTAATTTCAACAGCATAACAAAATCAATCGATTTTATATATTTGATCCTCCAAAAGTTTCAAGATCTACTCCACTATCCCAAAAAGGGATATTATATCTTCATAATGATTGTAACCATACTATATTCTGTATATTTATTAAATCACGTTCAATTATTATTTCGTAACATTTTTACATTAACGAAAAGAAGAGAAATTAATAAAAAGACTGAGCATTGATGTTCAAGCGCAATAGACTCTATTCGAGGGAACTTTTTCGAATAATTGTTGCTTTATTCTCCCTTAATTTTACACATCATTATTAGTAACATAAATGAGAAACTTAGAAAAAGAAAAACAGATCAGACGTCGAGGCTACGTTAATAAATAAAGCGCATAGATGTATGTATATGCCGCGGCTTTGAATGGATGGAAAACAAGTACTGCACGCGAGCAAAAATTCAAATAAAGATTTTATTGAAATATAAGGAATCTGTACCAGACAGAACTAAAATTAATTATCGTTTGAATTTGGTACTACCGGGGTTCGCATCGTATGTATATGCCTGCGTAATCGCTGGGTTATCTTTTCACATATTTTTTTTTTTCCTTTCTCCTTGTGTGTCTGTATGTATATGTGTATGTGTACATGCTTTGTGTCAACTTCATTTATTTTTCCTTTAATCGTTATAAGTAAAGTCTGAATATTTTCTATAAGTACAGAAACAATGTTGAAGGTACGCGCACAGTCTATCTCAAAGTCCCTAAAGCTAAAAAGGATTTTTCTTTTCCTCCTAGACCTGCAGTTCTGCGATTTTTTTTTTTTTTTTTACATTTACAACTTAAAGGGGTTTTTGCTTTCCTTTTTTTTATATTTACAATTACGACGAACTAAAAGATCTAAAAGCTACGCGTTTTCACTTCTCTCTTCCTTTCTCACACACACACACACACACGCACGCACAACACACATTCTCTCTCTACTCGTTCCGTTATTATTGAATTGTCGAACTATTTACAATTTTTACAGAATATTTCTCTCTCAATATACAGAGTATATTGGTTTACATTATACAACAATTTAATAAACGTGTATTTAAAATTCTTTGCAATGATGAATTGCAAGAAGTCGCGCAACCTAATAGCACACAAATAGCCCCATTTCATTTTTTTCTTTTTTTCACGATGAATCGTCATAGCTCTGCTTTTCTCTTGAAAATCGATCGTACATGATGTAACGAAAAATAAATATTAAAGATTCGTTAAAAATTTAATTAATAAAATCCCTTAAATTTAATTGTACGACAGAAAAGCAAAAGTCGCTTTTAATTTTTTTTTTTTTTATAAAATGGGACGTATCGTGTATAGTCTAATAATACTATACTAAGAATGTAAAAACCTAAAAATTTTTCTTTGTTTATATTAGTTACAATAAATAAGCAACGTATATGCATTTTTTTTCGTTTTAAAATTTACACTTATACAATTAACTATATCACGGATTTACTGGTTCTGAAGCTGCTGTACACATGCATCAAATGTACGGTGCAGCAAGTTGTTAAAATAAAAAAAAAAAGAGAATTAAAAAAAAGAATGTCCGAGAAATCCAGCGACAATAATTAATTATATAGTTTAGATAGAAGATTGTTAGAATTTGGTTGTTGTACTCGATTCTCTGTTCAAGATGACCGTTTTCGAGGTAGGAACATCTCTATTTGGTGAATACACGTCGACAACCCATTTTAAAACATAAAATGGCGCTTTCTCAAGGATATGCATAAATATTTCTCGATATATATATATATCGTTAAAATTAAATGTCGCGTGCATTAAAATGTACGATGTGCAGTCAGTTCTTAAAATCGAATGAAAAAAAAAAAAGAAAAAAAAAAAGAAAAGACATTTGATCATATAAAAAAAAATGCAACAAATAACATGTTTAAACAATACTTAACTGATTCGTAACAAAAAACACCGACAACCGATATAGAACACGTTATATAAATTATAAAGTTATCGCGCACTATGTATCGTTGATAATTAACATCGTTTTCCGTCTCTTTTTCAGCTTATTTGTCACTGTGCATTGAACTATATGTATGTGTATAATGCCATAACTTGAAAAAAAGCCAATAATGCGCTCTGTCTCTAAACAAATCTAAAATCTACGAACGAATGATACACCACCATCCTTCTTTTTTTATGACACAATATTACTCGCAGAGAAAAAAAGAAAAAATGAGAGTAATATTCATCAGTTAAATACAATATATTATCATAATGCTGAGAAATACATTAATTCTTTTCTCTTCTGCTTCTTTTGTCGCTATATACTTCCAAATTCTTTTTTTTTTTTTTTGTTTCGCATTTTCTTAAATCGCTTCTATGAAGTTTACTTTGATTATTCTAAAAACGAATTAGAAAAATATTTCTTTCCAGATCTGTACTATTTTATCTTAGCAAAATTGAAAATTAACTAACTTACAAAGACATTCCATTATCTTTTCAGAATTCTAATACAAGCGGAAATGCAATCAATGAGAAAATGTTATTTATCTTCTAAAATGTTTCTTTCAGATCTTTTTGCATTTTTTTTTTGTTTTGTTTTTAATACAGAAATTTTTGAATTTCTGTATTAAAAACAGAAAGTCTGTCTATCAAGTGTTTTTTTTTTTTTTTAATGTACAAGTGTATATATATCACGACAGCGACTCATACCGTTGTTTTTTTCCCTTTGAGGTTGTCGCATAACGATAGTCCCACAATCTTTTATCTTCACTTACTATAGTCTTGTATTCGACATACTGGAACTGACCGTTCGATTTTTTGTCTCCAATCAAATCCTATTGATATCTATTGATAAATATTGAATTTTAGATTCATGTAACTTCTGTTTTGTTTCTGGAAGTTCTTGGAGCTTCAGAGCGTACAATCGGAAACTGCAAGTTAAATTTCTTCATAATTACATATAACTTCGATCATTCTCTTCGCAACCATAAAAAAAAGTCCGTTTATAGAAAAAAGTCTCTCTCTCTACATATATATAGCTTGATACTGTCAAATATATATATATAATATTATATGTATAATATAATATAATATCATATAATATAATATAATATAATATAATATAATATAATATATGTATATTTGTATATATTCATCATCCTCGATTTTACATTTCAATGTGTGAAAATAATTTATATTTACAAGCATGGTTCAGTATTAGAAATTCACAGTAAAGCGTTTTTATTCATCGTTAATAGATATCGCTCTTCGGATCCCTCTCCCGGAAGAATCCTTTTTCAGTCTTACACTCCCTGATAGTAACGGTTTTCAAATTCACCGTCACGTCTGTAATGAACACCTGATCGGCAACTGGATTCCGCGCGTGCCAGTAATCCGTACCAGGACTCGAGAGAGGGACATACATGTCTGGCTTCGTGATTTCCGTTTGTTTCACACTCGATGTGTTACTACTGCTGTTACTATTGTTTGTGTGGTTATTGTTATGATTATGATGTCCATTGACAATGGTCGGTAACCTATTGTTGTTCGTGTAAGAATCTGTAGGGCTAGGAGATTTGTGACCGTTCGCGTCCACTGTTACTGCTCCGTTCGATTTTTCTTGTTTTTGTTCAGGCAAGTGCTTCTTTTTGGTAGGCTGTTCCAGAGGCGTGTCTATCTGTGGGGACAAAGGTGCCGGTGGTGCACGCGGCAGCGAGGGTGGAGGACCGTGAGGCACGTCAGCTTCGGCACGCTTTTTCTCTTGCACTGCAGGAGCTGGTGTTGTCGGTACTGCTGGTAGCGGTTCCTCCGGTGTTGACTTCACGCTCGATGATGACGGCCTCCTGCCATTCACCTTGTGACTCTAACAACGCAGTTATCATCTTTATTATTCTACAACTTATATATATTTCAATTTATTTTATTAATATCACAAATTTTGGATAGATTTCAAATTTTCAAAATGAGAACTTTCTAAGTGAAAATATGCGTTTCAATGGAGATTTTACAAATTTCTTCGAAATTCGTATAAATGTATATGAATTAACGACAATCGATATTAATTTTGAAATAAATGAATACTTACGTGATAAGAGGGAGACGTTGGACTACTTTTCAAAGGCAATAGTCGGGGGATTTTGTTCGGAGGTGGACTTCCGCTGCTACCGCTGCTTGGACTGCTGGTAGTAATGGTAACACCGATTTTTCCCGACTCTTTGCTTAGAACCTCGGCTTTCCTTTTTGTACCAGTTGGTTCTCTCCTTGGTAACAGAGGACTGTCTACGCTACTACTGGAACAATCTGAATCGACGCTGAATGCAGACGCCGATAATTCTGGGGCTGTGGGTGATTCGTGTCCGTCGAGGGAACTCGGAAGCGTGTCTTCGTCAGGCGCAACCGGATTTAAACGTGGTGCAGAGGTGCTACCAGTTGTCGACTCGTCCTGACTGTCTTCTCCGACTCTTTCATCCCCACCGGGTTCTTCCTCGACAACCAAATTTGCCAAAACTTCCTGATGTATAAAAATGATTTATTTTATTGTAAAGTTTATGCACGTAATTTTTAATTTATCATAGAAAAGAATGAAACACTAATCATTCTATTTAATCAAAAAGAATAAATATTTAAACAATAATAAGAGAGATTTGAATTAAAAAATTTAGGGATCACATGCATGTTGAATAAAATTTTACGAAATTCGAAAAAAAAAAAACAATGTTATTTCTTGATGGCGTGAATAAATTATTTACATTATATCTAGTATCCCTCCTTCTGGGTCTTCTTGCAGTCACATCGCCACCTTTTTGACTTTCTTCGTACAATTCGATTAATCTGACGTCTAAAATGTTTTCCTCCGGTTCCCATGTGTTGTGTCTATAAAGAGGGAAAATGTGTTTTTAATCTATTTCAATAAACTTCTTAATAACTTTATCAGTTATATCTTCAACTTACTTTTTGCTCCATCCTTTCCATTTTACGAAATATTCTACTTTGCCCTACAAGAAGCAGAAATCGTTCATTTAGAAATTAATATTCGATAACACACACACATACATACATACATACATACATACACACACATAAAAAAGATATGAAAGTAAATCCGGCAATTATGCGATGTGATAAATGAATTGCATGGCATAAGTAACATCATTCTCTTTAAGCTAAAATCACGAATAACAAACGAAACATGATACTCGTAACAAACTTGTGATTTATCATTTCTACAATATATCGAATCATTCATCATATTAGCGTAAGGATGATGAAATGAATATACTCAAGTATCGAAATACTCTATAATGTAAAATTATTCATGATCCTTGCGGATTACGTATTGAAAACTTATCAAAACGTATGAATTGTATCATCTTCCTATTTCGAAATGACCTAACGAAACATCATCCCCCTAAATGATCCCCTCCGAAATGATTTCCGATGCACCTAACGAAATGAAGAAAAAAGGGAGCGTTTTAACACCTGCTCGTGATCCAGAAGATTCTCATAACCTCTAACGCGCATCGCACTCTTCTAAACTCGTAAATCTTCGACACGGACGCAACCAGAAATTAGGATAAAACTACGATTAAAATATAAGATTTTGCCCTTTTTATTTTAACATATTATCTGCAGGTATAATATATTACTATAATATTTGTATTATTGAAGACACAATTATGAACTTTATCCTTTTAGTTTCAACATACTACGCACATATGCCTGAATTTTACAGAGTTATTAAGAAAGATTCATAAGATTTACTTATCTTTAGGACAGATACAACTACGTTACGAACATTTTTCGACTTTATTCTCTTTATTTATCATATCACACGTAAGTGTAATTTTTTCACCAGAGAATTTATATCTAATGTATAGTTTGATTTTCAATTTCTCTGACAGGTATAGAATGTGGCCCGATCGCAAAGATCCGTTTCGCGCGTCTGCGTCGAAACAGCGGATTTTCGAATCCATCTCTGTAGGAGCGTACGGTCGATAAAACGGGCGGCGTTGACTTCCACGAGAGCCGCTGATACGGCTCACCTATTGGCCGTCGGCCAACGAACGAAAGCATGCCGACCGGTCGAGGTGCGCAGCTAGTCTGACAGTTGGAAAACAATGACATAACTGTGCAGGTATAGGACACGTTGGTTTATCGCGCATGAGCCGCTCGCAGCTGAGAGGTCTCGCGTGTTTTATGTCGATTTACAATGTTGCCAGCAACCGAGGCTAGCTTCGTTACCGTAATCCGAAGATCAACGCCACGGTAAAAACGCATAAATTTCTTGCATAAGTTGCGACCGTTTTCGAACGTATCGGCACGCGGAGGGATTGGAGCAGTAATAAATCAATATGAATTACTTCGTACTTAACGTGGAGTAGCTTGAAGAATTCTTTATTGGAAACACGAGTCGTAATATCTCGTCAATGCGTTTTTAAATGCAATATTGAATTTGCAAATTGGATGACACACTGCCGCCTACTCGTGTGACGTGAACGTGGTTGCGAACGTGTTTCAATATTTCTGGCGCGAATTTTGAATGTTACGAAAGTCTGGTCTCTTCGTTTATGTTATTATAATTGGAGACATGCGAGAATCAAATTGATTGACAAAAGTTGAGTGAAATTAAGACGTTTCTAAGAAATGTAGTTGATCAAATTGAATTCTAGATATGTTTATACATTTGCACTTAATGTCGTATGTTATATACATATATGTTTAATTGTAATTTAATCTACTGATTTGTAAGAAAGAATTACCAAACATTTAAATAATCGTACATTATTCAATATTCAAAACAATAAAACTTAAAAATCAATTAGCAGTTTAGAAATCATTTATAATTATTATAAAGTTACACTGAGTGTCTCAATAAATTATTGTAATTAATGTAATTTGAATAAATATTTAATAGATAATTATTTATCTGAAGTTTCAAGAAATATAAGATTTATTTTATTTGAAAAGTCACGCGACGACGCATAGGTATTTAAAGACATGTTTACAACGTTCTGTAACGAAATAAACAAACTAAACGGATAATTTGCGTGCAATGTACCAATGAAACGTGTCTGTTCGACTTCGATGAGAGATATCGAGAGCATCGGTACATGATAGAAATCAGAACGGGAGGGGCAGAATTGTTGAAACGACGAGAGGTGGGAAAGAGAAAGATCACGAAGAGGGGAGCAGGAATCGGCAACGGCGCATAGACAAACAGATTCCATATAGTGGCGCTATCTGCCAGTGACGGTTCGCAGTTCTCTTACTTACCCGCTTTTCCCTCTTCTTTATAATCCGTTCTGCGGCGTAAACTCTGTCACCTAGATCCATGATGTTTTTAATCCTTGTTCGTTAGATTCGTAATTTAAAAAAAAAAAAAAAAAAACAACTATCGGTAAATCCAATGAACGAGCGATGACTGTCACTGAAAAACCACACTGAGTAACGTAACACCATATGTACCTATACCGTGATCGGGCCACGATGCTCTAATTTAATCGAGATGACACACCGTGTAAACATAATAAACACGTGTTGTCTCGTATACGACGAGGAGACTCGACATCGCTCGATGTTTTCCGCACTGAACAGGATCGAGTCGACCGACTGGTGATTAGAGTGGCTGCTATTTCAGCAGTGAGACGGCAATGCGGCCGATGTTTTTTGAAAGGCCAGTAGTCGCGGCAAGACCGGCGAACACGAGCGAAGTCGGCGTACACGCACGTCCCATCGGAAAGGGAATTTCAAGCGGCACAGTTTGCGCGCCGCGAGTTACTTCTTCGTGTGTTCACGTTACAAATAATCCTGTGTACGATACTTGTCGAGGAGTACGGATAGTACTCGACTGTGCGTCTTGTCTTTGTTCCGGATTCGTATTAAGATTCAGAGGTGTCTAGTATTGGCCGGCAGCACACGTTTTCTGCTTCTGCTGGTGTTGCTGCTCCCTTCGTGTAAGATCGGGGTTCGTGACGTCAGCAGTTCCCCCTCACCTCGTAAACACCAAACATGGCCGTCGTACGGATATACACCGATCGAGTGCGTCCGAAAATGATGGTGAAAACTAACGTCGATATAGGCACTAGAAACTCGTGGATCCGCGTACGAAGTGCGGTATAACGTTCTCAAGCTTCGTGATCGGCGTTGAGCCTGTCTATACACGAATATATAAAAACTGGAGCGATCGACTCACAGCGTCTAACACATTCTGCGGATCGAGGCCGACTAGAGCCGAGGTCTGCCGAACTCCCCTCGCAAGCTTAGTGGACTCGCCCGACCCGCTCGAGGTTAGGAGGGGAGGGGGTAATGGTAGAGAAAGAGTATCGGAAGGAGAAGGGAGAAACTCTCAACGGTACGTGCGCCGTACGTACGACGGAGAAAGAAAGACAGAGAAAGCAAAAGAAGGAGAGTGTGATTGAGTGACCGAGACGAGAAGGGTGGGGAGAAGAGGGAGAGAAGAGCAAGCGCAATGGAGGTAGAAAAGAGAGACGGCGCGACCAGGAGCGCCGTCCTCGGAACAAGAAAGCTGCCTGCTTGCCTGCCTGCCGCCTGCTTGCTAGCCAGCCACCCCAAGTTCCCTTCTAGGTACGTGTATGCGTATATTTGTGTGCGAGACCAGTCGATGCAACGTTGCCAACTCTATTTCGTCGATAGCACCGCACCAAATGTCACTAGTACATTACTCGATAAACTCGAGAATCCACTATGCCGTCGTTACGTTTATCACTTATTATTACAGATAAAACGAGTCGATCGACGTGTCCTTTTAGAAACGGGCGCGTGATCTAATCACTGTTTTTAGCGAGCGAGGTGCCGCTTTTGCCGTGTATTCGCGCCCAAGATCTGGCAACACTGTATCCTCCTGCGACGTACTGTCACACACTACATAACACTACCGCACGGCATCGACTGTCGCATACGATGCTTTTATAGTAAACAGACGTTCTTAAACGGATTATCCAAGAAAATCGGAGACTTGTCGGAACGATAATACACGGTACCGAGACGGATCAGCGTAGAATAGAACGCGTCGCACAAACGAGTAGCGCTGTTCGTGAAAACGTGTGCAACCTCAACGGATCCCGAATCGAGAGTGTCCTCTCCCGTGCCAACGAATACATAGGGAGAGCGGTTCAGCGAAGGAAAAGGAGAGGGATAGAAAAGGAGTGAGAGAGCCAGTTGGGGGAGCCTCTGCTCTTCTCCGTCCTTCGGCGCAAATAGCAGGATAAAAAAGCCACGATGGTGGCGCTCGATTGGTGGGATTCTCGAAGCGCCACCAACGCTTCTAACCCTGCCGAGCACGACAACCAATCGACGTGTGGCACAGCCCACGTCCGTTCCCCTCGACTCGTCGAGAAGGCGGGCTCACGGACGATCGTCGGTCGACGGTTCTGTTCGAGGTCCCCATCGCCGTGCCGCGCGCGTCCCTGCATTCCCCTTCGACACAGCCTTTCCGTTTTGCCGCAACTTTCCCCCTCCGTATGTGTTAAAACAGAGACAGCAAATTCTCTCCCTCCCCATTACACTCTTCCCCTCGTGTAGGAAACCCGAATAGCGGAGCGCGCTACCGTGCCACCGGTCATATCTCTCTCTTTCTCTCTCTTTCTTTCCCTCTCTTTCCTTCTTTCTCTTTAACGCCCACGGGTGTGTAAAACCGTATATATCGCGTATGTGCTGGCGCGTAGGGCGGGCACGTGAATGAGGGGCATAAGGGGAAGTACATATAAATATATAACATCTACATATATATATATATATTTACGTATATATATGTATATATATATGTATGTACAAGCGCACATCGTCACAAGCATTTCCCCTCTCCGTAGCCACGTCGGCGGTGGCCGACCACCGTCGGTATTGAAATATCCTGGCCCTGGAGAGCCAAGTAGCCGTGCAGCGATGCCGCTTCTCTTTATAACCACTACGCTCTGCACCAAGAGTCCGATCTTCCTTTCCTTTCCTTTCCTCTTCCCCACCCTTTCTCATTGCATGCACCTTTCCCCTTTCTTCGTCTCTTTGTCTACGTCTTCCGTCCTCCCTCCATTCTCTCCCTACACCTTTCCCCCTTTGCTCTTCGTCTGGTTGTAATGCTGGTAATCCGTCTCTCTTGCCTTCTGTGCCCTTGTTCGGCACGGCTTGTCGCGGGGATGGGTGTTGCGTACCCTCTTTTACGATTCCGCTTTTTCCCCTTTCTCTCTTCTCGCCGTCCGATTCGAGTTTCACCTCCCTTTGAAGCGCAATCAATTGTCGGGGAAGGCGAAAATGTTGTGCGCAATCCTGTGACCGACGCACAAAAGCAAAAATGCCAGCGTGCGTCGCGCGCTCAGCTTTCTCGAGTCGCGCGCTATTGCGCAACCATGGAATACACAAAGCCGATGTAGATGGCGTGCCGCGGGTACGCAGCTTATGGCACGTCCCCTCCTTTTCCTTCTTTCCCCTGCATAAGCAATGCTCTCCTTTGTTTCTCATCGTCGATGTCGCTGCTGTAGTTCGCACTTTTAGAGTAACCTTCTTAACCTCCTTAATTAATACCATCTGCAGGATTCCGTTCAATTAATTTTCCATTGTTTTAGATTTCCAAACGATCCGGACACGTTGAGTTTCATTACCTTGGTTTGCTCGATGATTATACGCATAACAAGTCTGAGATGAGAGCCGAGGTAATTTTAGAATCCGATACTGATTGCGCAATAAGAGAATCACGAAATGAGGAAACCTGTGTGCATCTTTTAACTGCGCTTTGTATCATAACAAACGTATTCTGTGGTCCATCTAATTCGTATGTGTGTTTTGTTGATATCCGTTTCAAGGTGTTAACATCGTCTTTACAAAGAGAACGAGAGAGTCGTTGACTGCAAAACAAAAAGAGTGAGCAAGTGCATAGAAGTAATGTAGTGACCAAGATATGGCGGCTAGCTAATTAAAGCTGCGCAAGAACGCGATAAGCAAGGGCAAACGCGCACGAAGTCGCAGCGCACGCGACTAAAGATACGGGAGAACGATGAGGCCACTGATTCGTGTTTCTCATTATGCGGGCCGTCCATCGCGGACACGGCAACGTCGAAAGCAGGGCGTGGCGCGTTCCTCATGGATCTAAATCGAATGGTACATCGGGATTCGCTTCAAAATTTATCAAATGTCGTTTCGACGATTGTATCGTTTTCGGCAATTAATAGAAATACCGCACGTTTATTTTGTATCTAACGAGCCGAATTGGTAGCTGTAAGTAAAATCACATGGTCAAAATCTGGAGAATTTACAATCTTGAGATATCGTGAAATAGAAAGTTACACTAACCTCTTAAGTGGGAAGATCGGATGTACATATGCATGCTAAATTAGACTGAGCAATACTGTCACTTAAACATATGTATCAAGTTTATCAGTTCAGTTTAAGTAGTTTTACAATGATACAAAGTTTATGAAGATCATAATTCATTAGTAAGTATTGTTGAAAGTAGAACAGTTGAAATTATTTTATTTGATTCAATTTAAATCGTCGATGTCTCGTATTTATGATTATAGGTTATGGAACAATTCACACGGATTTTTGCAAGAATAACGGATGTACCTATTAAATGAGATGATAAAAAAAAGAAGGAAAATGTTCGATGTATATATAGCTATTGAAGATTATCGATCCTGAATATCATAAAATCGATTGAAACATGATAGTAGATTCTGTAACCGTGAAGCAATAAGCGCGGCAACGTTGCATGGAATTGTTAGTATTGTTACATACGTAAGATCGAACAATATTTAATATTCAATATTCATGACAATTCTTTTTTATCATTCCAAGATCGTATAGGCTATTTATCAAAAGCAATCAGTGTGTTACACGAATACGAAAATCGATACATCTCGCATCGACTTTTCAATCCACCTTTGTCACTTATCGATTAATGACAGTAGGAAATCGAATATCGATTGATTCATGGAAGCCATTTTCATTTTTTCGAGTCAGTTTGTCGCGACGTTTCTAACTGGTGACTGCTCATTTTGACCGATTGATCAAATGCATATTGAAAAACGATGACATTAGAAAAGTGACATTTCGTGACGAATTATTTGTATACGAAACTATGGTAGAATATGCATTTGAGTAGTTTCGGTGCGCGCACGCGTTTCTTCGAGAGAGACCGGGAGAACCGAGTTCGAGCAGTCACTTGGTGGAAAAAGTGACCATTTAATAACTCAGGATCGAATTACGATATCGAGGTAATATTTTCCACATAATGTTCTCTACCATTTGTCATGTCTATTTATATGAAGTTCATCTTCATTCCATGAACAGTTTCCTAAATAATCGATGTTTTAGGTTAGCGTATCGGGAGACATTTTTGAACCCAATTCGGAAATTAAAAGCGTGGTTAATCACGTTCATCTGCAATATCTGCCATCTTTTATTACCGTTATTCGTTTCTAACGTGCTATTGGTGGAATTTTCATTTATTTTTCAAACGTAACTACGAAATGAGAAGCGGATTCAAATTATTTCTGGATAATGTTAGAAACATTTCGAGATATCTATCGTTCCCGTATGAGTGCTACGTTTTATATTTAATCGAATTATCGGTTTTTCAAGACAGTGTATGTGTCTCGTAATTCTCAGCAGGTAAAATATTAATCGCGTGTCGGTCGCATATAAGAAACGATAATCGATATACGATCCATGTCCCATTTCCGACGTTTCTGAAAATCGGCTCCATCATTTTTTCTCTCCATATTTTTTATTCATCTCCATTCGATTTTCATTCGGGCTGCTCGAAAACGAGAACTCTCGATGAATCTTTCATTTGATATTGTGTTTGATACGTAGGTATCGTTTGCAATTCGTTCGTGTAACCGACTCTATGGATTTGTAAATCTTTCATGTTGCTCGTGTATTTTCGACCGATAGCGTACTCGTTTACTGCCCCGTCGGATTAACCAGCTGAATTTGTAACGTGAACCTTACATGCGAGGTGTAGGTATATAAGTGAGCTTCGAGTTGCTTAATATCTATCCATATCGTGAAATATAACGCGGATCTCATGGATGCGCTACTTCCATTTACAGTAATTTACAACTGTTTGCAGGGCAATCTCTGTTTAGTAACTACCATACTACCAATTATCATAGTTTCAAGATTTCCGATAATATAACAATGATTCATCCATGAATATTTTTAATTTAGACTTTAAATTAAGAGAACCTATTAAAAGGAGGATGTTAAATATTCGATTAGGAACAATTTATACAATACAATTTATACAATACAATATTTAAATTTTTCAATCATATTTAAAATGCTTACGCTTTTCTAAAAGAGATCAGCAATCTGTTTTTCCCATGTGGTTAATTCAAACAATACAATAAAAAACATACTTTCATCTCTATTAGACGCTGCAACCGCTACTTAGTCATCCATTTAGCATATTTAATATGCTTCAAATGAGACCAAAGTGAATAAGAAATTCACTTTTTCTGCACTTGCTACTTAAGCAACTTTCACGGTCACCTGCATATAACGTACCAATTTACTTATACAGCCCTTACTTATCACCCTTAGCTACTTAAGTACTCTGGGAAAGTGACAGCGATACCATTTTTACCGCCGTTTTTTTTATCAGGATTAATTCATCATTGTCTAAACTCAACCCCCACCGCCATTAAGCTAATACGGTTTTCCTATGTTTTCAGGTAGTGCGTTTCATTGGTCGAGTGACGCTTACCATTGTCGGCAATTCGTGAAACGTGTATTCTCCTCGCGGACACCCGGTAGATGTGCAACTACCCACGTAAGTTCGATTATTAATTCAATGACGGAAACGCGCGGTGCATGAGCTTGATGCAACGTGCCGTCTCGTTATACACATCGATGCAAAATTGTATACCAGCGTGACAACGAGCTCACGAATGTCTCTTAACACTTTCAAGATGAACTTCTCTTGTAACAATGGTGTTAAATAATTGGACTGCAGATGTTTATGCAAATTCATACAGGAGGTTTTGTTTTATTCAGATAAATACTGTACTTTAAATATTTAATGCGTTTTATGTATAGTCGGTGTATTTTTGCTGCTTTAAGTTCCTCTGAAAATAGGTAAATGCATAAATATCTGCTGTCCATTATATAATATAACGATATAGATTGTAATTTATTCAAATTTGAAAGGAGTAAATTAGATGTTATTGCTTTAAATGGGATATAATAATTACTTTTTATATTTCAATAGAGTGTCATTGGTATTGGGAAAATTATAACAATCCGGAGAAAATTATCTTGAGATCTTTTTAAGGCTTGTTGTCCCGCTGGTCTAAAATAACATGGCTGACATTTTCGTTCTAATGTGAATTACATGGAACTCAAAATCAATCAAAATTAATCGCAAATAATAATATGGAGTTTAAATAAGATGTGGATAAGTTATGACATTGAAAAGACTATTGAACTCATCCCAGACTTTTTCAATATAGATATTATTTATATTGGTACTTGAAGTGTTCTGTTAGATTGGTTTTTATTCAAAACTCATAATTCATATAAATTTTAGGATTACATAGAGAACAGTAAATTTATTGATCTTTTTACTTAATCCTCTGTGCAAGTGTTAGCTGTGTTATTTGAGAAATCTCTGTATATAAAGTGAATGAAGAGAAGTAGTAATGTCATTGGAGGAAATATAACGAGGCTCTAAGCTAAAGCATTAAATATTAATGTAGTCTGGATCACGTTTTTCTATAGAAATTAATCTAAAACAAAGGAATGCTTTATTAAATCCGAACCGAGGTCTTACGTGATTATTTTCTTTCTCTTTTGTTAATTCGTTTGAATATTCAAACATTAAAAACTATAACTTTTGATCGATTTCAACACTCTCGCTATATTTCTTTCATGAAGTATACAATCAACTGTAGGACAAATTATTTATTAACTTCTTTATTTCTGAGGACATCAACTTTCAAAGTTCATGTGCTTACTTTGCTCATAAAAGCGTTGCATGGTAATCATTTTACTTTTAATTAGATAATTACACAATTACACATCATATATAATTACATGCCTATGTTGCACAATTTATGTATCTGTAATTGACGGTTGTTTAGTATTTCTTATATAATTTATAGATATAAAATAGATTTATTTTTTATTTACTACTATGCACATTCAAACAGAGTAAATCAAAGTATCAAAGTATTCGGATGCTTAGAGGTAAGTGATACTGTATGTTAAAGGGCTACAGAAGTGGGTTTTATATCGAGAAAAGGAAAGTTACAATCCTTCCAAAAGGATGGTAATATCCTGTAATGTTATGCTGCTTAATAGTTTTGATATTTATAGTTAGAATGCCGAAACGTAGATGATATTAGTACAATAGTAGGACTAAGTAGAAAAATTCAATGACTTTCTTTCAATTTACACTTTAAATACAGAAAACGTAGCTTCATTCTGGAAAATATCAGAAACAAAATGGGTGCGTTTCTGAATTGAATGTTAAAAAAGCCTTGGCCTTAGGTGCCAATATAAATTGTAGTTATAGATTGTTACAACTTTGTCCATTAGCGTCTTTTTCTGTGCGCCAATATTATATAAAACAAGACATTTCCCTAAACCTTACGATTACACTTCTTCATGCGCCGTAATAGGGACGTAGTGTCGCTAGTTTCAAGAAAATTGAATGGGAGTGATAGTAACGGCCGGTTAATAAAGTGTTGTAGATATATTGCAAATTGCCACGACGCGACGTAACGAGCAAAGCGAGAGCGTGTACGTCGCGGCGTCGTGGTATTATCAGGACCGTGTTATCGCGCGAACTCACGGCGCTTAAGTGCGTTCCGTTGGCTCGCGGATAACGTCGCGACTCCCACGTATACATGTGCGCGCGCGCGCGCACGCTCATAATCGCGCGAGTACCAGTGAAAAACCTCTCGACGCTCGAGAGCCTCCGTTGATTAGGTAACAGCGAACGAATATCTTTTTGCTTGGTCGTTCGCTTGGAAATGAACCAACGACGTGTTCGAAGCCTTTTGGTACGTTCGTTTCGTCTCTTTTACGAAAAAAAAAAAAAGATCGAATACGCGAGATTGATTGATATTCGATGAAAATCGTTGTGTTCCAATCTCTCGTAATTAGGTGTATCTAATTTGAACGTATTGGCAATTGACAATTCCGATATTTTCTACGAAGTGAGATAGGCGTGTGTAGTTGGATGATGTTACAATACATTATGTAAATTCTCAGTAAATAACGGATTTCTGATAATGGTGCTTACTCATATCTATTGGAAGGCAACGAAGATTATTAGGATTACAAGAATATACGAAATTTGGTTGTTACGATGTTTATGTGCCGAAATGGAACGCAAGAAATTAATCTCCCGAGGCAAACTGATAGGTACGCGTATGTTCAGTTTAAATTTAGATGTAATAATATTATAATGATAAGAATAAGCAGAACTGGAATACTCGGTTGCAAGTTCAGAATGTTAAGGAAATACAAATATAAGGAGTTTGAAAAAATGTAAGAAAATTACGTAATTTAGAAACGCGATTAGGTTGCACTGATTCGAATCCAATAGGGAGATTAAATAAATAGAAAATGATTACATCTTCTAGTAAATTCAATCTCGTGGAAGCTTAAGTGATAATAACTTGCTTAAACTTAAATTTTGTTATATTTTAGCTAATTACTTTTAATTTCAATTTAAAATGAATACTGATGTTTATCTAAATTAATGCGAGCAAATTGTTACTACACTTTGTGGCAAATTTACATATACAAAATTTACAGAGAGTGTTAAAGAAATACTTAGATATGAAGAAGACAACTCTATTTAGATTTTATCGTTTTAGTTAGCTTACTATGATTCGTTGACTTGCTTCTGCGTACATACTTACGTACTTCGTTGAGCCACTGTGATGCGTTGTATAGTTTTCGTCCGAATTCTATCGAGTGATATAACGCGCATGAAATACTCGGAGCCGAGCGACTAAACGAAAGGTTAAACGAAAAGCTATTTTTCGCTGATCGTTAGAGTATCGTTTCATCTAGTAACGCGAGGATGTAATAAAGATACGCTGAAATTACGTAATGGTGGTTATAATGGTACGTGAATGTATACAACTACATAACGTTATATGGTATCAATGTTAAAGATAGACCAAAATTCAGCCGCGCTGAACTTTCCGAGCGTCGATAAATAAACCGCAAATAAACTTAACCTCAGGTTACCTCCTAATCCTCTATCATTAACGTAGTATAAATTAAAAGTTGCGGTAGTTTCGTTGCAAACTTCTTTTTTACTTTGTTATTATCTTTTAATCGGAAGAAATGGAGAATTCTTCAAATTTACAATAGTAATTGACCCGTGGTTTTGTTGCACTAATGCTGCGTGATTCAGTAGAATTATATTTTTTATGATGCAGTGTACACGAGTATTGCGAAAACTCTGTCAAAATTTGTCAGAAAAAAAAAGTAAAATATAGATATATCCAACAAAATAAAACGAAGAA